TTTGTGAATATGTCTTTGCTAAGGACGGAATCTGTTGCTGACTAGCGATGCCTCCGCAATGAGGCAACATTTAGCAGAAGAAATCCTCGTTGCAGCGATTGAAGCAGCAGTAGGAGATGTTGTTGTAGCGCTTGTCCGAACTGTCGCGCTTATGGCGCTTATCCTGATTGTGCTTGAGCGGCTTGTAACGGGGCAGTACATCTAGATGGATGAGTCGATGATAATGATCGCTGCTGACCTTCAAGTAGCCCCCAGTTGGAAAGCTGCTGCGCTTGACGCCATGTGGCGTCTTTTTATCCATCTTGCCATCTGCAAAGAGAGGAAAGAAGAATACAAATAAATTATTTTGAAAATGATTACATTTAAATTTAAACTTGAACTTGCGCCTTGAAATCGTGTAAGACTGCGCTTTGTTTAAATATTAAATATTTTCAATATTTATATTGATTTTTTATAGTTTTTGTAAACATTTCCGAGTTCGTTTTCCTTTTGACTCTGAGTTGACTGACTTTGTGACCTTATTAAATATGCATTTTATACTAAATACAGATATACATATATCTTTATACGTACGTGAAAGCTTATTTTTATGATGCCAGCTGGAGTCTATGGAACGTCTCTCTCTAGGCTCGTCCTTCTGGAACAGACGCTCGCAGGCCTCCATGGCAAATGCTTTCATCTTGTCCAGCGAGCAGTAGGCACGCGTCTCGCTTAGCAGACAGCTGCCCAGGATTAGGGCGAACAACATTAGCTGCAAGAGAAATATCATAAATATGATAGTAAGGAAAACTAAATTTAATTTAATTTAATTTAATCTAAAAGCAGCTAGTTATGAGTTGTAGCTGCAAGTGAATCGATATCTCTATCTATTTGTATCTCAAAGAGTATCTGTATCTGTATCTATAGGTCTTTACGTATCTCAACCGATATCGAAGTCTATCATTGTATCTGTAATAGTATCTTTAGCTATAGACTTAAACCTGCAGCTGCACCTCTAATTGTATCTACATTTCGCATTGTATCTTTATCTCTAATTGTATCTGCATCTTATACCTGAGTATATATGTATCTGAAATTGCATATGCATTTATAAGCAAACAGCTTTGACTGACGACAGCCGACGACGCGTCGTGACGCCGCTGTCCTTGTCGACTTGATGGTTTGGGGCCAACAAACTGGGTCACAAGTCGGGCACAAAAATCTTAAAAAACTGGAGCGCATTTGCAAGTCGTCGCAGCCAAATTGCCTGTTTTAATGTGCGAAAACTTCCCCGACTTCCCCGACACACAGAGTTATAATGGGAATTATGTAATAAGCATTTCCGCATTGGGCTTATGCTTATTTTATTTCTTACAGAGAACAAAAGCGCATTTGTTTGACATTTATTTTTAGCACCATACAGGTGATATTGCTACCTGTCGACAGGTTTGCATGGTACACACCCCTCTTTGGGCGGCAATCGATAAAACGGCAATAAAAAATATTTAGCATCCATTAAGTGAGTTTCAATATTTATGTTGTAAATTTCCCCACATTTAGACATATTGCACAAAACACTGGGAAATTTGCAACATAAACTTTTGAAATTGCCTTCTCAGGGATTTTCAACCGACTTGAAATAAACAACAGTTTTACATTTTATTGCAACTCACCTTAACGTGCATTGTTGTTGCTATAGATTGTGTAGTTTATTGTATTTTTTAAATGATTGTTTTTAATTAATTCCAATTGGTATTTGTAAAATTGTCTTATATGCACTTGCACCTGCCCCACTGGCAAACGCGACGTATACGTGTTATTTTTATAAGTGTTTCTTTTTTGGCGGCAAAGCGAAATCAAACGAAAAACAACCACCGACCCGTCACCTGATAAGCTGCGAACTCAAATGAAAGCTTCGCCCAATGCTGTTAGCTTTTATACGTATGCAAATACAGGGGCCGAGCCAGAGCGCAGGAGCAGCAGCAGCAGCAGAAACAGCAACAGCAACAGCAGCTTCGTGTTCTCTGGGTAGGAGGTAGGTAAAGAGAGCAGCGCTCGCTTCGCGAACGTACGCATGCGTAAGCGAAAAGGCGCGCCGGCGCCGCAACAACAACAAAAGCCGCAATAAAAACAACAACAAATTCTGCTTAGAACTGGACCGACGTCAGACAAGAAAGGATGCCAATTAACTGCATAATTTCCTATCATTGTCTTTTTTAAGGGATTTTTTTTTAGGAAATGCCAATGTTATTTCAACATAATTGCCTTTTCCCATCTTTGTGTTTTCGTTTGTTTAGGAAATGCCAAGGCTGCTTCAACATCAATTCAGTTGGCTTTGGCGATGATTCATGTGTAGGTTTTACAGTTGCTGATAAAGTGCTAACAACGTGTGCCGGCGCCAATAAATCAAACACCTTGAACATGTAATATTATTTAATAATAATGTAATGAGGAAGCCGGCACTGTTCGCGGCCAACCTGCCTTGGCCCCAGCGCGACAGAGAAAGTTAGCCGCAGCCGCAGCGCGTGGCTAGCTCTTAGCTACCCTATTTACCTGATCTACCTTGTTGCTAGGGGGATTCCGTTACCACGCACGTTCTCTGGTGAAATAAGCGTATCTGTGTATATGTGTATGTGGGTGTGTGCGTGTGTTTACGTCGGTTTTTGTGTATTTAAGCATTTCATTCATAAACATTTTATGGTTAGCATATCAACGTCACGAGCGTTACGCCTGCGCACACTCGTGTTTGATCGTTACAAATACCTATATACATATGTATATACATATACATATTTGCAGCTGCGCTTTGCACATATACAAGCAGACTCACACATGTATAAAAATTGCACATGTTTGGGTAATAGTACTTTCACATAGTGTGGCAAAAGTCCCAACCGGACAAGGCCAACAACAACTCTCAATGCATAATTTCCCTCTCATCTCAATTGCGCTCTCGTTTTTGTTTACACGTGCGTCTGGTGTTTACGTTTTCTCAACTGGAGTGCATCGCTGAGTTAACTATTTTTTGGAGGTATAATATACACAAATTTAGTTGTATAAAGTTTCTAATAATCCTTATATATAATACCTGGTCGACATAGTTCGAATGAGTTAAAAGTTTTTTTTTTTTCAACAAAGTCCCTTACTCATATGCTCACAAGGGTATTTATGAAGCGACTTGCGGCACTTTTTGGTTTTGTTGTTTTACATGTTGTATTCTAAGGAAGAGGAGAGAGCAGAGAGCAGGCCGCAGAACGCCAGCAGGTGCTGGTAGCTGTAGCATTGACGTTTTACTGACATTGATCATTTAACGGTTTCTCTTAATGGTGCCGACGTCGAGCATTTACGTTTGCTGCATTTGTTGTTCTAATTTTACATGTAAGCATTCATTGGTACTGAATTACGCATGCGTGCTTTTTTATACATATATATTTTTGGCCAGTGTCAATGCACACTTTCGGCCGAGTTTTAATGTCGTTTGGCTTCTTTAGCTGGACTGCCCACATGCGGAAACGGGTCGTATGCGCAATGCGTGCGCATTTAGTACGACGCAATTGCAGTTTGCATACTTTTCATATATGTATATATATACCCACACACACACGACAGCCGTCCCCCACACACATGCACACGTAACTATGTGTGGCATTTTCTGGAACGTGTGTTGTTGTTCCTGTTTCCTTTGCAATTTTTGTTCTGTTAGTCTAACGGGAACGACGGCACGTTCTGTGAAAAGCCAACAGCGATCGAAGAATATACGAAACATACGAATGCGTGTATGTGCATACCTATATATGTATGTATATAAATATATGTATGTATAGTCCGCAGAACGAGCAGGAATGTGAATAAAAAAAAGCTGCTTTGGCATTTACTAAAGTATGCATTTCATTAGAAGTTTCGTTTTTTCTTTTGTTTGTTTTTTTTTTTCGTTTTACTGTTGTTATTGTGGTCTAGAACTGTTCCAGCTCCCGGCCTGGACCCAGTCTCATTCATAAATACAAATGCATATGAGTATGGGTGTGTGTGTGTGTGTGTACGTATTTCACAACCTGAATTGAAATAAACCTCACGCCACTTGCCGTCATGTCAACGATCTTCTCTTCTTCTTCTTAAATGTACCTGGGCAAAGGGCAGCGAGGCCAACTACATCTACTGCTGAATCTGTCTTTTTTTCTGATTATTTCTGTTTTGTTAATATTTTTTTATTTTCAGCTCTTTTTTTTGGCAGCCAAAATAAAACTGGTTCTCATTCTATTAGATATCATCGGCATCGGCATCGTCTTCATCTTCATCTTCGGCTTCAGCGGCGCTCGAACTCTTGTGTGTGTCTAGACGAGTTTGGTCCTTGGCAACAGAGCTGAAAAGGAAAGCCAGCCAAGTCTGCTTTGATCGTGTGAGCGTGTGGGTTACTTTGGCGATTGTGTTGTTGGTGTTGTTGTGTGGCAGGCGTGTTCCATGAACCAGAGGGCGAAAGTGGTGCGTCACGTCCGCATCTGACTTTGACCAGGGAATAACAACAACAACAGCAACAACAAGGGCAACAGCAACAAGAACATCACCAATTTGCCATCCTTCTTTACCGGTCTGTTAAAGAATCTTCACATTCTTCGCTTCACGCTAAGAGTTCATCCAACTCTGTGCCTAGGGGATATTCGCATTTCTAATGAGCAACAGGCCGTAAACGAAGAGATAAAAACTTTTTGATGCTCTTTCATGTTCCGAGATATTTACTACAATAGACGCGCAGACACATGAGTAATATGATTCCCAATGTCACATCGAATGAATAAGATGACAAGAATGTCCAATGTTAAGGTGATCGAAAACTTAGTTGTGACTAAGCAAATGCTAGTTTTGGCCAACATAAATCAAGTTTCTGCGCGGCTGAAATCGAAAGTATATCAAAAGAAGCGGACAATGGATTTGGTAACACAAACGTCTGCTGTGGGGCGCCACTCGCTGAATCAGCTTGGGCGCCATCTAGCGTCATTTACAAGCAACTGTGAACAGCTGTTATGCAGGCCGCGTTTTTTATGTAAAGAAACGAAAAACAGAAAATGTTCGGAGCAAAAGCACGACATTTGGTGCGTAAAACGATTCTGCCGGGCAACTGCAGTTGGTGCCGCTGGAGCAGCAGTAGCAAAGCGCCAGAAGCAGCACCTAAGCCAGATGCAAATGCAGCCAAGCGACAGAAACTAATTCAAGAGCTAGCGGAACCCCTCGAGAGCAGCGGCCGGCCGGCCATCGATCCCAAGGAGACGAGTGTAGTGCTATTTCCCGGCCAAGGCACACAGTATGTGGGCATGGCCAAGGATTTGCTGCGATTCCCCGGTGCCCGACGCATCTTCGAATTGGCCAATGAGGTGCTCAAATACGATCTGCTCAAGATTTGTCTCGAGGGGCCACGCGAGAAACTCAACCGAACCGAATACGCGCAGCTGGCCGTAATGGTGTCTTCACTAGCCGCCCTGGAGCAACTGCGCGAGGAGCGACCCAAAGCCATAGAGAATTGTGTGGCAGCAGCGGGCTTCAGTCTGGGCGAGATCACCGCCCTGGTCTATGCTGGCGCAATGCCCTTCGACAAGGCGCTACAGCTGGTGCAGGTACGGGCCAATGCAATGCAAGCAGCATGTGATCAGGCGCCAGGTGCCATGGCGATGACACTGTACGGCCCGGACACCAATTTGGGCGAAGCGTGCGCCAAAGCATTGCAATGGTGCGTGGACAGCGGCGTGGAGTCGCCCTATTGTGGAATCGCCAACTACATGTACCCACATTGCAAGGTTGTGGCGGGCAGCGTCCAGGCATTGGAGTTCCTCGAAAAGCATGCCAAAGCGCTGAAGATACGCCGGATGAAACGTTTGGCCGTCAGCGGTGCCTTCCACACACCACTCATGGAGAGCGCAGTGGAGCCGTTTGCCAAGGCGCTGAAGTCGATCCGACTGCAGGATCCCATCATTCGCGTCTATTCCAATGTGGATGGCAAGCCGTACAAGAATGCCTCGCACATCCTACGCCAGCTGCCCAAGCAGATTGTCAAACCCGTCAAATGGGAGCAGACGCTGCACGAGCTTTACGAACGACGTCAAGGCGTCGACTTTCCGCGCACCTTTGAATGCGGTCCGGGCAAGGGTCTGCTTCAGGTGCTAGAGAAGGTGAATGCCAAGGCAGCGCAGACATCATTCAATGTGACCGCGTGATCGATACGTAAAATATAAACATTGGCCTTTTTTGCTTTATAAAAAATGTATTCTCTTGGCTAAAAGGAAGGAAAAGTGAACAGAAATGCGACATCAGTTGGGGGATGTAGACAAGGCAGGGTAGGCAAGCAGGCTTCTAGGCTTTGTAATCTCTGGTGCTCATGCGATGTGCGAAGGCGGCTCCCTTGTTCTTGCGGAATCTTTCAAATGGATCGTTCAGATTGTTGCCCACGCCCTAAAAGCAAAACAAATGGATAAGTCGAGCTTCAAGCAATCCACTTCTGCTGGTCCTTACCTTGTACATATCCTTGCGATCCCGCACCTCGCCGCCCGAGATGGGGGTATCGATGCCTTGGCTTTTCGAGCCCAGGCCCGTACCCGTGCCGCCCCAGCCCATTTTCATGAGCATCTGATGGCCCTTATTTGACTCCTCTATGAATTCCTGCGGCTTGGCAAAGCTGCTGCCACTGCAAGAAAGATTTCGATTAGAATTGGAGTCGGCATTGCCTTGGATCAACATTTGAGTGAACTTACAAGAAACTGGGTGGCGTGGGCGATCTGTCGCGTTCCACCCGCCTGGAGTTGTTCACATTGTTGCTATTATTATTGTTACTATTGCTATTGTTGTTGGCGTTGCTGCTACTGCTGCTGTTGCTGTTGTTATTGCTATTGTTGCGGCTATCGCGACTGTTGTTGTCGCGTTCATGGCGCGGTGAACGATTGCGTGCCTTGCGATTGCTGCCACCACCGCTACCTGGTCCTGCTCCTCCTCCTCCTCCACGACTGCGTTGCGGTGGCGGCGTAACGGCGCGTTCCACAGAACGCGACCTGGATCGTGAGCGGGATTTGTTGCGACTGATGGGCGAGCGGGTACGCGACCGACTTCGACTCTTTGAACTATTGGCGAAATCAGATATAAATATAAATACATAAACAAATGGGATTGCAGCTCACCGATAGCAGCGCTTATTGCTCTTCTTGACTTTCTCCAGGATTATGGGACTGGGTGAGCGTGACTTCTCGCGTGTGCCATTCCTGATCTCCTCCTCCTTTTGCTTGCGCGCCGCATTCTTCACCTTGTAGTACTCGTACAGACCCAGCTTCTCCCAACCCTCACTGCAAGATCATTTGATTGAATTGGTATTCATGATTTATATATTTACGCTACTCACTTGTCCCTGGGACGATCGTGTGAAGGCGCTGCATAGAAGGCATTTAATGCATTTGTCAGGCGTTCGCTTTGCGGCGCTGGCGCTGGCAAACGGATTTCCGACGGGTCTAGCGGCTTATAGTTGTAATCCTCCAATCGTATGAGTGGCACAATAAGTCCAGCCGGCAAATCGTAATAAGGCGCTGTCGGCACTTGAGGCTCCTGCATGACCATGGGCGGCTCGCCAGACTCCAGATCACAGTCCGTGTGGGGCAGTTGCTCAGCCATCTGGTCATCCGTGCGCTGCTGCATCACCACATTCATGCCTGCATTTATGGCGCCCATATTGACTCCAGAATCAACTAGGTTCGAGTGTGGCATTTGTCCGAATTGCGGTGGCTGTTGCATAACCTGCTGCTGTTGCTGCATCTGTTGCTGGTGTTGCATTTGCAATTGCTGCTGTTGCTCGTCGGGATGTCGTTGCTGATGTTGCTGCAGTTGCATTACGGCCTGTATGGCTGCATTTAAGACGCCCAAATCAACGGTCGCGTCCCCACCTGCCACGGGCAATTGTCCAGGCAATGGTGGATACTGATTCGGCAGTGGTTGCTGCTGCTGTTGATGTTGCTGCTGCTGCTGTTGTTGCTGTGGTGGCACCTGACCGTGTATGGGCGCTGGGAAGCCTGGCGGAGGCTTCGACATGTCCGGAATGAAAAACTTAGAGCCCCGTGCATCCACATAATGGCTGCCAGGTGGCGGCTGTTGCTGCGGCGGTGGTTGCTGCTGTTGTGGCTGTGGATACCCGGCGTACATGTTGCCGCCTGGCTCGTGCGTTACCGTTGGAGGCGGCGGCGTATTCATATGCTGCTCTTCCACTGTGCCGGGCATGGCGATGCGCTGCGCCATCAATGAAGGTATGGCCTTGCCCTGCGGCGTGCCCGGCTGCGCCGTTTGTGCGACCAGTATTTGTTTCTCCAGCTGCAGCTTCTGCTGCTCCAGTTGCGCGATTTGTTGCGTAGCATGTTGCATGAATATCTGATGCTGCTTTTGGTAGCTGCAGATAAAAATATAAATGCCCCAAATATAGTAACAAGTTCAAGTGTTTAATCCAATTTGCCACTCACTTGTCCAGCGTGGCCTTTGTGCTCTGCGTGTACTTGGCCACAATGTCGTGATGCGTATTCTGCAGATTCGTCTTATACTCCTGCATCGATGAGTCCGGCGACTGCAGCTTGGATATGACACACGCATCAAAGAACTTGGCCTTGGACTCCCACAAGGATAGCAGCTTCGACAGCTTCTGTCGCTGATCGTTGGTGGCAACTAAGCAAAGGAAGGCACAATTAGTATACTCCACATATGGAGAGGATTATAACAGATGCTTACTCAAGTCGGCGCTGCAGAACATCGGTATAACGACATTCTCGAGGCTGTTCTTCAAATCGCTGATATTTTTGCGCATGCTGTAAGAATAGATGTTGGCGCTTAAGCAAAACGTGCCTGCAGCTCGCATTTAAGGATGCTGTGTGGCCAGTTCGTATCAAGCACAAATCAAATTTGTCTCTCTGTCTGTCAGTCAGTCTGTTTCTTGTGCCCGAACTAAGCAGCAAAGTTTATATTATAGTTGTCTTTTGATATGAGAGTGTTTTACAATCTTTGTTAAACATCTTAGTTAAGTATTTCCCACAAAACCTACTAGCATTTTGGCATTATGACCTTCTATTATATCTAAATATAAGTGTGTATTTATAAAGTACCCAGATTTTATCAGACCGTAAAATAACTTTTTACTTTTTCAAACATATATAATAATCTCAGATAACTATATCCCCCTTATATCCCCCAATATACCCGACTATATAGTTTAACTGCATTGGGGCTGTGCATTATACGTCTGTTACATATAAATATATCAATATCTTTCTTTTTGAGCAAACTACTTATTTTTATTTAATATCCGCCTACAACATTGTTTACTTGTTTGTATATATGTATAGTTTTATTACTATTTGCTTTTTGCGAACTTACCAATGGTGGAGTATATCATTAACTAAATATATAAGATGCAATTTTTGCTGAAACGTTGAACCATTGACCAAAGCCCTAAAAATAAATTAACAAACGAAAAAAACATATTTTTGTCCATTTCTCTTTTCTCTCTTCTTTCTTTATCTCGCCTGCTGTAAGCGCAACATCAACAACATTTCTCAAAAGTGTTCGCTGTGCTGCGTATAGATTCGTATATGTGTGTGCATGTGTGTGTGTTTATGTATGTGCACGTGTATGTGCATGTGTGTGTGTGTGTGTCTTAACTAAGCAACTTTTTAGTGCAGCCTAACTACCGGCTTAAAGGACTCAAACGACGCTATGAGCCCAGTTTGCACCTTCGAAATTCTCTCTTTCAAAACGAATCAACGAATCAAATTTTTGTTATTAATAATATTATTATTTGTTATTATTTTTTTTTTTGTTCATCTTTCGCTCGTTCTTTTCAGAAAAAAAGACATCACTCTCTGTCTCTGTCGCTTGCACACGCTCGATTTCGATTTCATTTCGTTTCGTTTCGATTTCGTTTTGTTTTTTTCGTTTTAACACTCGATTGAAAGAAAGAAATGTAATTAATAAATGTTGAAAGATCAATTAATTAAATATAAACTGAGGCATACTTCTTTAAAAGATATTGTAAAACGACATTGATTTTTGCGCTGTCGGTTGAATGCTGTAAAATCCAGTTCTTGCCTAAAATTGCAATATCAAACGGGTTACTCATATTGTAATTGTCTCTTTTTGCATTATTAAGTTTAGATAAAGTTTGAATTAAATTTGATTTATATTTCTTAATTATTTGTGAATTTGGAATTTGCAGTTTGTCTAGCTCAAAAAGTTAACTGACGTAAACGCATATGCATATAAATATATTTATTTGGATTTTTAAAACTAGTTTTTTTTTTGTAAGCCTCTCGCAGCTTTAGCTGTGCATATTTACCTGATGAGATGCTATCCTTGGTGCAGGACTCGATGATCGGCTGGAGTACAGCATCGAAATCCCTCAGGACGATACCCTGCTCAGTGGCCAATTGCTCCAGCTGTGTCGTCTGTGCCGCTGCCATCGCTTCGTCGATTTGCTTTGTCTTTTGTGTCATCAGCGCCTAAAGATTTCACGATTTCATTTCGTTTCGTTGCAGTTCATTTCAATTCGTTTCGATGTCGTGTTTGAGTTTTTGCCGTTGATTTTGTTCGAAAATTTTCACATATTTTGTATACGACAATAAACGTGGATTGCGTTTTTTTTTTTGTTTTTAATAATTATTTGAGTTTTATACACATTTGTTTTTTTGTCATTTGGTATGAAGAGTTTTTAGGTTTTTTGTTTCAAAAAATATACAATAAAGCAAAAATTTAATGTAGCATTGTAAAATTGGTTATTCAATAGGTTAAAAAAAAATCAAAACAATAATATAAACATGTAAAATGTGAATCATTAAATTAAATGCAGTTATATAAAAGCTGAAAGTATTTGTATATATTTATATATATAATGTATCCAGGACAAGGGACTGAAGAGTACAATACCGAGAAAACTGATTTCCCATCTACAATGGGTTCAGAGTATAAAAAAGAGGCATACACACACACAAAGGCAAAGCAGGAAAGGGGAAGCCCAGTTGAAGTTTGTTAAAAGTTCATTGAATGTTTGCGGATTCTTCAGGAGTTTTCGTATCTGGATCAAAAACTTGATCAAAAACGCAAGGGAAAAATTAACTTCGGAATTCCGAAGTCTGAACACGCTAATAGTCATAATTGCAGCAATATAAGACAACGAAATCCTTTAATTTAAACATAGTATGGGCCAGAATCAGAAATCCAAATTTTTTGAACATTAAATTTAAGAGTCACGATCAGAATATATATTCTGGGGAGTTTCAATTGCTGTTCTTTTACGTAAAAACGTATTGCATCTATGATCAATTAAAAATTAAAAAAGCTTATTTCCTTCAGAATCTGTGACAATTAATATATACATATATATATAGAAGTCACACCTGCGAGAAGAGAGAGAGAAAGAGAAAGAGAGCGGAAAAAAATAGTAAATTATTTACCGTATGCTGTGCGGAAAGATTTGCTTCCGATTGTTTGATTTGTTCTCGCAGTGTATTCTGTTGCATTTTAATGCCGTCCAATTGGCTTGCCAAGTTCAATGCCAAGGCCGTTCCGTTAGATGATTGTGGAGATGGAACTGAACCGGCTCCGGTTGCAACGCTAGCATTAGATGGCCACAAATGTTGTGATTTTTGTTGCTGCATACTATCCTGGACATTGTCATGCATAATTGGTGGCATTTGCTGCTGTTGTTGTTGCTGCTGCTGTTGCGGCGCATAGTGTGGATGATTGGGTGGCGGCTGTTGCATATAAAGCGCGTTCGATGGCATGCCACCTTGCTGTTTTAACACTGCATAGAAAAATATATCAGTAACAAGGAAAACAGAGATATTTATCTTCTACTTACTTGCCTGCTCCGCTGCCACACGGAATTGATAATAGTTGGCGAATTCGCCGCCATAAAGAAATTCAAACTTTGGATTATTCTGTTGCTTTTGTTTGGTAATTGCTTCAAACTCGGGTCCATTGCGTGCCACAAATTCAGCCAATTTATCTATTATATTGCGTAAACTTGCATCTGCAAAACAGTTAAAAGTTCAAGTTTTTTTTAGCGGAGCTCCGGAACGTGTGCGTGTATGCGTGAGTGTTTTAGCAAATACATTTATGCATACCTCTGGGCGGTTGAGCATCCATTGTTTTTAGTTTAGTATTTGTTTACAAACTAGCTATTTTGTAAAGAGTAAGGCTTAAATAATCATAACTTTTAACAAACAGTTCATCACTTTTTGCGGCGGCCGCAAAGAATTTTTATCAGAAGCACCCTTCTTCTTACTTTTTATTCAGACGCCATATTTAGAGCTGGAGCGTTTGCAATTCGCTATTTATCGATAGGTTTTCCAATCGAGCTGTCAGACTCGAAAAATCGAGCAGATTCATTTTTGCTGTTTGTAAAAACCTGCCAGTCATTTTGCATTTAATTCTATTGGAAAAGCAAACATGGCAGTACGTGTAATAAACGACGAATCACATTTTCAAGCGGAGCTCTCCCAGGCGGGCATACGTCTAGTTGTTGTAGATTTTACGGCAACATGGTGCGGGCCCTGCCAAAGAATCGCGCCCGTGTTTGACACGTTTCCCAATAAATATCCCAAAGCCATATTCCTTAAGGTGGATGTGGATAAGTGTCAAGACACCGCAGCTGGCCAGGGTGTCTCTGCTATGCCAACATTTATATTTTATAGGAACAGAACCAAAATCGATCGTATTCAAGGTGCTGATATAATGGCTTTGGAGGCGAAAATAGAGGAGCACATTGGCACGGGTGTTGCCGAGGAAGCAGGCGAAGATTACGGCCAAGGATTGGTAAGTATATACGCACTGCAGATGAAAGTGCACTTAAGAAATTGATTTAATCGCATGCCTAATTTATACAGATGGAGCTGAACACGTTCATCTCGAAGCAGGAATGCGAATGCTTGAATGAATCCGACGACCACAACTTGAAGCATGCTCTTACCCCGGCCGGAGGGTTCCTGCAGTCGGATTGCGATGAGCAGCTCATCATGTCGATAACATTCAATCAAGCTGTCAAAATACATTCGCTTAAGTTCAAGGCACCCCCCAAATTGGGTCCCAAGGAGGTGAAGCTATTCATTAATCAACCACGCACCATTGACTTTGATTTGGCCGAATCCATGAGCAGCGTACAGGATCTGACGTGAGTGGATTTAATCTTACTGAATATGATAATCTATTAACCATATGCTACTTTCAGCTTGGCCGAGAAGGAGCTGGAGAAGGGCAATCCCGTCAATCTACGATACGTGAAATTCCAGAATGTACAAAACATACAGATCTATGTAAAGAATAATCAATCGGGTGGCGACGTTACTCAAATTGATTACATTGGCTTCATTGGCTCCCCGATTATAACAACTAAGATGACGGACTTTAAGCGTGTCTCTGGCAAAAAGGGCGAAAGTCACTAAAGCGCATCGCTTGGCATTCAAATTGAACTTTTAGTGATTGCTCCTCTTGTGCTTTCAACTTAAAATTACACATAACACCATAACTAAGGAAATGCATTAACAATGGACAACTAACAAATTAATCAAAAAAAAGTTTGAATTAAAAAATCCTCAGCCTTCATCACAGACTACTTTGGGGTCGGCCGTCGAGTTCCTTGTTGAGCATTTTCCAAGCTCGCTCCGCCTGCAACTGTGTGAAATCGTAATCCCACTGCGAGCTGAAGATTACTTGGGATTTGGCCACAATATCAGTGTTTTTCACTTGATTAGCCAGCCGATTGCGAGCTTCCTTTTCGCTGAGATTGTTGCGCTCGATGATGCGCCGAACGGCTTCATCTGGTGGCACAATCATTGACCACACCTCGTGGCAATGGATCTCCCAGCCCGCCTTCAGCAGCACCGCTGCCTCCAGCACAACCACCTTGGGTACATTTGCTGCAGCACGCAGCTCGTCCAGACGTCTATTCACCTCCACCATTAGCTCTGGCCACACGATAGAGTTCAACGTTTCCAGCTCCTTTACATTTCCAAAGACTAGTGGACCCAGTTTTGTGCGATCAATGCGACCATCATCGGAGAGTATCTCCTCTCCGAAATGTTTCACGATTTTCTCATAGCACGCCTGACCAGGCTCGTAAACATCATGCGCCACCTTGTCGCAGTCGATCACATGGGCGCCCATCTGCCCCAGACGCTCAGCCATTTTACTCTTGCCCGAAGCAATGCCGCCTGTCAGTCCTATAATATATGGACGAGCAGGCAATTGCGGCCGTGGCTGGAAGAGATAGGGAAACATTTTAAGCTCTGTCAATGCTACGGGATCCAAGCCTACCTCCGGCTGACGCCAGCGCGTACCCAGGAGATCAATACGTGTGTTGCTGGAGCTGACCTTCGACTCGTGTATGCCGTCAACTACTTTGCTCTCCACAATATCAATTGCGAAGATCTCCAGTTGACGCAGCTGTTTTGCGGCCCGAATTTCGTTGACCTTTTGACCGCCCCGCAACGTCTCGGCACTGACTACAATTAAGTCCATATCAGGATCATGTTGCGTCGGTCCAAAGGGATCATCGATGGGCACAATATCATATTGCAGCGTGTTATCTATGTCCAATAGGAACTCGCGCAATTCGGCAATCCGCTGTTCCACGGGCAGTATGAGCTCTGGCAATATTTTCCCTGTAAATAATTTTAAAATTGATTAGTGCGTCGAATTATAACATCTAAGTGCTGAATCATATTAGTTTACCTTTAGTCATTGCAGCCGTCGTGACGCCCACGACGAGCCGTTTGCAGGCGCGGAGCACGGCCTGAGTGAGGAATATCTTGTGACCAACGTGTATGCGATCAAATGTGCCGCCCAGAACAACTGTAGGGTAAACCTTCTGATTGACATCTGTTTCCAGTAACTGGAAATCGCAGCTGTTGGCGTCATTTAGAAAAATTGTAGGCTGGCTTATGTTGAGAGCGTTGCGCAGCCTGTCGCATAGCTCCGGTTGATGCGCATCCGAGAATATCATATCAACAGGTTTCCGTAATGACAGGCCGCCGACAGCTGACTGCTCCTTGAGTGGTGCCACCAGGACGCGCAGATCCACTTTGTTGCCCACATAGCTGCTGCCATCGGCGTACAACTGTGATATAAGCCGACCCCAAGCTGGTGACGATGCAGATTGCGTTGAGCCCGTTACATTTATGTGAATGTACAGCGAGTTTACGTATTTCTCAATACTTCGCAACGATTTTCCTAGTTGCTTAATATTGGACACCACCAGCAGTCCAGTTGAAGCCATCTTATCGCATTAAATTCGCAACTAGCCAATAGCGGGTTTATATGTACTTTGGACTTGGTTTGTTATTATCATAACGACAAATTAACCTATTCGATAAGCATTGAGTTTCTTAGACTATCGCTTTGATTTCAGGGCTACCAAGAGTTTAAAATTAAATTAATAAACATTTAATTTTATATTTCCCAATTTACAAATTAAGCTGTTAAATTTAGATTCTTATTTTGTCTTTTAATATAAAAATATAAATAAATTCAGATTGAAACACTATGTATAAGATTTAAGTACAAAATATAGGTACCAGCACTGGTAGAAATGTACCAATAGTCGCAACCACGAATAAGACCACAAACTATCGATAACATAATATAATATCGCAAAGTATCTCATGTGCAGTATACCCATCACTGAAGAAAAAAGTTTTTTCACAGATTTTGTAGCATTTTTTATTTAATAAAAATTAAACCATCTGAAAATGTCTCGACAAGCCTCTAGATTGGATGCCAAGAAAGTGGTGAGTAAACTGAATGCAGTATGGAAGACAGAACACTCACGGCTATTAGCTTGTAAGATTAGTTATTTGTTTTTGGTCGTAGTCTTAAGTACCGAACCATTTGAAGTGCCACCCACCCTCAAAATCGGCTTCACATTCGCTTTTGCAGTAAGTGCGGGCGTGTGAGAGGGAAACGCTAGCGAATCAAAAGAGCGCAACCTTCGCGCTATGGATAACCATTTCAGCAGTAACCGCACAGCAGCAGCAGCAGTAACCACAAGAATGAGCAACAGCACGAACAGCAACAGCAACAACAATGCAAACAACACAGCCAACGCAAGTGCCAACAATCCAAGCGTAAATGCGGGGACGGCAGCAGTAGGACAGCCAATTCAAGTGATACCGATGCCGTTGCTGTCGACAGCTGGAGGCCAAATCATAATCGGGCAACCGCAGGCACAGGCGCAGGCAGGCGGAGCAGCGGCTGCCCTGCAGCCACAATTGATTCCACTGCAAGCCAATCAAATCATGCTGCAGGCACAACAGCAGCCACAGATGCAAGTGATGCAGCTTCCCGATGGTCAGACTATATTCTACCAAACGCCCACGATTACATCGCTCGATCCGAATGCCGCAGCAGCGGCAGCTGCTGCCGTAGCACAGCCCACACCGCACTACCTCAACATAAATGGCCAATTGGTGCAAATAACAGCGGCTCCCAATGCCAACCAAGGCGTGCCCACAGGCGGCCAGCAGATTATAATGCTGCCACAAATGACGGCGGTCAATGCAGCAGCAGCTGTTGCTGCCAATGCGGCCCAGGCCAGCAATAATGTGCAACAGCAGCAGCAGCCACAACAGCAGCAACAGCAACAGGCGCAAGTTCAGGTGCAACTGCAGACGACGACAACCACTGGTATCGCTGGTGGAGTAGGTGGTGGCGGGGGCAGCAATTCAAGTAGTGCGGACGTAAGCACCAGCACCACGGGTACGAATACGAACAGCGAGGAGGATGAGAATTCCAAAGGCGAAGCGGACGAGGAGCCGCTCTATGTGAATGCCAAACAATATAAACGCATACTGATCCGGCGGCAGGCGCGCGCCAAGCTGGAATCACGCATACCCAAGGAACGCTGCAAATACCTACATGAATCTCGCCATCGGCATGCCATGAATCGGGCGCGCGGCGAGGGCGGCCGCTTTCATTCCGCTCAAGAGAAGGGCGACTCGTCCGGCGGCATGGATCATGGTCTGCCTTTAGCATCAAGTGGCGGGGCAACACTGAGTCGTGGCACAGCGCGAGCACCACCCAAACTGATTGCACCACACCAAACGCCGAGCATAACCATAACGGCCATCAAAACAGAATAGCCGATGCTTGAGTTTATATTGTAGATAGCACTTACCAGCCCCTTCCCCTTACCCATTTAACATAGCTCTGTAAACATTATATAGTTATTTAGATGTAATTAAGTGTAATGTTAAGCCTCAGGACAAGTGGAAAATAAATGTGTATTTATTAAAATATGTGCATATGTAACTGAAAGAATATTTTTCTGTTACTTTAACAGAAATGCTAAAAATGAGCTACACTGTCAAGTTAACAGCAGTGCAAATGCCTGCCTTAGCAGCGTAAGTGAACATGAAGTGTAAAAACAAAGATCCTCACTCTGTTAACTTAACAGCGGCCTACAGGAATATATGTGTCTATGGGCTAGGTAGGAAAACTCAATTATTATCTAAATAAAACATGTTTTTAGCCTTACTAGATATAGACAGTGTGACGAGTGTCTGCAACGATTTTATTTCTTCTCTTTCTCTCTACACCCCAAAAACCTGAACACACACAAAAATATATATAGAACTCGGAGTTCCTGACTTTAACATACGGGGCACTGGTTACACAGATGTTGCGGGACTTCGAGAATGTTGATGATGTGAACAAACAGCTGGAGCGGATCGGCTACAACATGGGAATGCGCCTGATTGAGGACTTTCTGGCCAGAACCTCGGCGCCCCGCTGCCTGGAGATGCGAGAAACTGCGGATCGTATACAGCAAGCGTTCCGTATCTATCTAAATGTACAGCCAACCATATCCAATTGGTCGGCAGCCTCCGATGAGTTTTCGCTGCTCTTCGATACAAATCCGTTGACCGAGTTCGTGGAGCTGCCAAGCGATCTGAGCAATCTGCGCTACAGCGCCATACTCAGCGGCTGCATACGCGGCGCCCTCGAGATGGTCCAGCTGGAGGTGCAGAGCTGGTTTGTACAGGTACAAATATACATACATAATGAATTACAATCATTTAGTTTACATAGTTACGTAGTATACATATCATTACATAGTTTAAATAACATTCACATTCACAGTCAGCGTACAGTGAAAGCTTTGCTAAAGCGTACAGCAGCATACTCCTACTCTATTGAGTTCCTGGAACTCCTTTGAACTCGAACAGCAAGTTTTAACTGTATCAAACTTGACTTCGACATAATCGAATTCGATTCGAATTACGACTCAGATTTGATCTGTTTAATTCAACAATTAAAAAGAGGTCTAGAATTGCAATCATAAGCTTTTATTTCTCATTAACAAAAAACAAAGAAAATTATTCGAAAAATCCGATTGAATTTGAGTTTAACAGTGTCTTAAGCATTTGATGTTCGCTCAAGAGAGTCTTCACTGTATGTGTGGGTGTGGGCGTGTGCGTGTGTCAGTGTAGAATACTTTTTGGTTGCTGCTCCTTCAAGGCAACTTTTTCGCATTTGTTTCATTTGCAGGATCAATTGAAGGGCGACAATGTGACGGAGCTGCGTGTTAAGTTCGTGCGACGTCTAGAGGAAGCCATACCAGCTGGCGAGGATTAGATAGAAGTAGACAAAGAAACATTCATATATATATATATATGAATACATATATATTAGAGCAAGAGAAATATAGTTTAAATGTTTCTCATTTAGAACATAGTTCCAGTAAATTTAAATAAACACAAACAAAATAATACTTGCATTCCGAAGTGAACTGCACAATGAAAACCACAGCAATAACAATGAATAAATAACAGTTATTATTAATTGATAAAAAATAAACGTTAACATTTTTGTTATATTTTTATTCGACTTTATACATAGTTGTCAGCTAAAAAATATAATATTTATATATAGGTATACAGATATATCCAGTAACTTTTAATACGCATATATGAATTTAAAATTGATTTTAAGGCATTTCATTAGTTAAGCTCAACTTGCAGTGGGATTTAATCTTTATATGGCTTGTGTGCATGTACCTCTAATGTGAAGATATATAAGGCTTGCATACGTGCATGTGTCTAAGCCTTGGCTTACATATAAAAATCATTTGATAGTAAGTACAATTGAAATAATAATAATCAATACATATGTATATGCCAGATTTGGCTCAATTTAATTGCCTGCCAATGCAGCTCCTGCTTGCACATTTCGAATCGCTTTATCTTCATTTGCCGAAATCATAACAAGTTTGTTGAAAGAGCTTAAGTAGCCATCTCACTCTCACTCAGCAACGCCAGGAAGATTCTGGCAAGGACTGCGTTCAGCAACTATCTTTATCTCTCTCACTCCTTTGGAGTAAGAAGTACAAGCCAGCCAATCGTATTTACTTTTTACGAATAAATACGAGCTTTCATCATCTCACTAATACTACTGCAACAGTGGGAGGCAATTGAAGCAAAATCTTAACAGAGTTATAAAACTGTAAACAAACAGAAGCCACCTGCTATAAATTTTAAAATGATCAAAGCGATACTGTATATTGATATATGTATGTATATATATATTTTTGTATACGTGTATGCATGCACATATAAATATGCACATGTGTATTAAAACTTTGGCTAACCGAGGCTAACATTTTCATGTTGCACAATTAATTTTTCTTTGCTGTGTAAATAAACTTTATACAAATGTTAAATATTCATTTTACTTAACAAAATAAAAACAAATCTTAGCGTTAGATAAAAGCATAAAAAAATAATAAAATTTTATAATTGAACAATTTTTAAGTTTTTAGTTTAGCCGGCTTTTGTTTTAAGTGTTATTTTGGTTTTATTTAATGAATTAACAACAACAAATAACAAAATTAAACAGTTTCTTTTTTTTTGGTAGTTGCATGGAATACTTTCTCACAGGCACGAATACAATACTTTTCTTTGTATGTTTTAAGTTTAAAGCTTTTTATTTTGGATTTCAGCTGCAGTTGTTGTGGTTGTTGTTGTTGTAGCACAAGATGTTGTTGTTGTCCTTGTTGGTTTGTTTTTGTTTAGTTCTGTTGCGGGCAAAGCATTAAATTGAGGTTCCTGCGCGTCAGCACTTTGCGCAAAGCTTGCAACGTCTTCATGCAGATGACAACGCAACAGCCATTGGCCACGCCCTCCGCTGGGCTTTTGCAGGTGCAAGCGCTGCTGCTGTTGCTGCTCGTGATAGCTGGAGGCGGTAGCGGCTTGGCTGAGCAGCAGCCGGAGCTGGCAACGGGCGGCGGACTGCAACAGCCGCCGCTGTTGGGTGTGGACATCGCTGGCTTGCTGCCACAGCAGCCAACAGTTGGAGGAGGAGGAGCAGGTGCAGGAGCAGGGGCACCACAGCAACCACCGGCACCGCCACTGCCGCCACTTGGTGCACAGCCGCAGCCAGTGGCAGCAGGGACTGGCTTTGGCTTGCCGCAGCTGCCACCGCCGCTCATTGAAGCCAGATTTTGCAGCAGCAAAGCAACATCCTCGATGTTTTGATTCATTTCCGCTTGGCGTTTACTCACTTTTTTGCTGGTCACCGACGAGCTGCCACAGATCCGTTTGCCGCCGTTCGTTACGCTCGCTGTTGTTGTCGTAATGGGTTTGGCCTTTGGAGTGGGCGTGGACGTGGGTGTGGGTGAGGACGTGGCCGCGATTGGAGCCATGACACCACAACCGCTGCCACAATCGCCACCATGACAGTTCTTGGTTTGATCACACTTGCAATTGGTGCAATTGCAGATGCCCGCATCTGCTGTAATCTGTTTGAGCGTCGGCTTGTTATCCCTAATGTCCAGCTCGACCAGGCCGGAGGCATCGCTAGGGACTTGCGCCGCCTGTTGCAGAGTCGCCTGCAACAGCGCGCTGTTGTTGTCGATGGTCATGAGAATGTCGTTGAGCAACGACTCCGTTTCCATGTCCTCATCGTTGTCATAACTGTCGTCCTTGAGCAGCTCCTCGATGTTCTGCGGATTCAGCTCGAGCGTGGGCAAACTGGGGCTGTCTGCCGCTCGGTTGATGCTATTCGACATTTCCACATCCAACGGAGCTGGGGGTGGCATGGCCAGTTCCTCCATCTGGCCGCTGATGGCGTTTCCAAAGTTTGGCTTTAAGTCCACAAAACTGGGCATTTCGGTGGGCAGCGCCACACAGGCATCGGTCAACGGTGCCCGCGCCATGATAGGCTTGGAGGCAAGCACGCCCGCGTCTATCCACGGGCTGGGTATCTCCTCCTCGGCGGCATAGGATAAGGGATACGCCTGCGATGTCTCGGGCAGCATAAATACATTGGACAACTGCTGTAGCACAACTCCACTATCGTTGCTTGTCGTCTCCGAGCTCTGACTGCTCGGATTGAGCAGCACCATATCAGCCTCCGATTCCTGTTCCAGCTCCAATTTCTCCTCGAGTTGTTGTTGCTGCTGCTGTTGCTGCTGCTGCTGTCCTTGCTCTTGCTCCTGCAACAGTTTGAGTGCTGCCCTCTTGGTTTTCTTCTTGCTCTTGTTGAGCAGCTGTCGCTGGTGCGTCTTCTTGTGAGACTTAAGACTGTGAGAGGTACTAAAAGATTTCTGGCAGCTATCCTCCTGACAGGGATAAGGTTTCTCTCCCGTGTGCGTGCGCCGATGCGTCTTCAAATGATGCGACGCCGTAAAAGCCTTGCCGCAGTCGTCCTCGGGACACTTGTAGGGTCGCTCCTGGGTGTGGGTGCGCATATGCTTCTTCAGATCGCTGAGGGTCGTAAAGCACTTTTGGCACATTTCACAATTAAATGTCTCGCCATTGTGCAAACGTAAGTGGGCGTGCAATCTGATAATATATAAATAAAAATTGATTAGCTATAAATATACGTATATATAAATATACTTTATTTACTTGCCTATATCTCGTATTGAATGCCTTATCACAGCCGCTCACCTCGCACTCATAGGGCTTTACCTTTGTGTGCACACGTACGTGGATCTTAAGGCTGTATGATGTGAGAAACGCTTTGTTGCAGCCCTCCTCCGTGCACTTGAAACTGTAGTCACCTGCAAAGGATGAATAAGCACACAATCAATAAAAATAAATAAATAAAACAAAAGTTTAGTAATTATTCAATTAAATATTGCGCACTCGTTCAAATTCAACGGCAAGAACATATAGTATGCGTTGACAGTGATGGGAAAGACGTTCACATACAGGAATAAATGCCACATTTATCGATAAGCAAACTTATAAACCAAAGGGAATAAACCAAAGAGGTTGCTTAGCACTTTTCCACTTTTTTATTAATAGCTTTTCCAGATATTAACTTAAGCTTAATGTGCACTTAGAAAAGAGGGCCAAAGAGAGGTTTTCTATTTGTTTTCTCATTGTAAATACCAAAATTCACAAACAAATTGTTTGCATTGTAATGACGTCACAGTTCTCTTTTTTACGCTTAACACGCCTGTCTCTGCGCCTGCTGGTGTTGTTCAACGTTTCAGCAGTGAACAATGGTGTGTGTCCATGACAAAGCGCACGAACGCATGAAAGTTGTCAGGAACAAACGTTTTTAAAAATATGTACATACATATTTAAAATAAGTAATAGTCGACTATGAAGATAAACTAATCAATAGTGCTAAGAACCATATCTGCTTGTATAACAAATCTCACATTGATTTTCGTCAGCGCCATAAAAGGAACACTGCGTGGGCAAAGTCTTATTTGAATGTGGATTGCCAGGCAAGTAAAAGATTATATCTGCATATTAAAATATATTTGCCCAATTTCAAGTTAAGCAAAGTCAACACGTCTGGAAAATACTTCGCGATCGTTACGTGAGGGAATACAATAAATGCATAGAGACTAAAACGAAGTCAAGCAGTTGGAACAACTACAATAAACTCAGCTTTCTGATAGGCCATATTAAACTAAACAAGGCAACCGGTAAATTTAAATTTTGTAAATTTCACATTCTAGTTACATTTTTACTCATTTTTACGCATATACAGCAACCAGAGTGATCAACGCGATATGGATATGGGAGATTACGATGATGAATTTTCTAGTCAACAGCGGGCCAGCTTCAAAAATAATGAAACCAATTGTGGCTACTTAAGCGAAATGGGCTCCGATACATCAATTTTCAAGAACGAATATTTTGAACCTAGAATGGACGATGCCTCAACCAGTTCATCCGACACACCACAACAGCCATTACTGCCCCAGGGACTGCAGCAGGCACAGAAAGAGTTCCACAAAGTCATGGGCCTGCTGCAGAGTGCGTTGGAGCAGAAGCTCAGCGAGCAGCCAAATTGTACGATCCCAGTGGTAGCACCGAAAGATCCGTTCTACAACTACCTCGAAAGCATACTGAATCGCGTCGAGCACAAGGCACGTGCAGAAATACAACTAATGATAATCAATTTAGCCAATTCTTTGGTGAAGGATTCACAGAATACAAATTAATAAACCAAATTATACTAGGAAATTTCATCCTTTTTATTTTTAATTGCTTGGCAAATCAGTCAATTGAAAGCAGCTTTAAGAAGTATATATTTGCTGAAAACAATAATCAAATTCGATAATACAGTTTGTTATCGATATTGATAATACTTGATGTTATTGTTAAGCAAACAGTCTAGCTGTGTTAACCTGCTTTCATATATTATTATAAAGTTAATTTATTACTAGATCTGGAAATGTTTTAATAGAAAACAAGTTGAACTTTATCTACTCACCTGTATGTGTTTTCAAATGTGTGCGCAGATTTCCGATTGTGCTGTAGCTGCGATAACAATTCTCATAGTTGCATTTATATCGACTGAGAGCTTCATCGGAGCTCTGCGAGTTGGAATTCAAACAGATGTCATAATATTAGCTATGCGAACCACACAGTTTAGATAATCATTATGTAAATAACTATGTACAAAGTCGTCTTTAGGTCGTTAGCTAATTATGTATGTAATTAATGTAGTTCGTAAGTCGGAATAATTTAAATATTTAAGGATTAAGTGCATGCGATGTGTGTGAGGAAGTGATTTATCGATGTTTGTTGGATGAGTTTTTGAATGGATTGTGTCAAGTGTCGAAGGGGTTTCGTTTATATTCTGTTTTTAACTATAACTACGCACCGATTTGGTTGTTTATTATGAATGCGAACAATTTATGTTAACAATATTCATTAGACGACTAGCAGTTGATTAAGTGGGCGGGGCATTGGAGCGCCTGCTCTTGCTCGCCTGCTGACTTTAGCTCTAGCATTAAAAAGTTGGTGTTTTTTTTCTGATATAGCTACAAGCGGAGTTACAAAAATTAGTTAAACACATTTGCGACTGTGTGTGTGCGAGTGTCAGTTGGCGTGGGCGTGGCTGTGCATGGAATGGGGGCTGAGTACCTCGTACGCCATCGCCATCAGCTGATCCTCGTCGGTGTCCTTGTGCAGGGCGCCCGGATGGATGCAGTGAGCCAGCTCATCTTCCTCATCAGGCTCCGTTTGCTCTTCGATAAAGCTGCAAGATCGTTCGGTTATATATCTCTATATGTCTCTCTCCCACTCTCTTTCTCTCTCTCGCTCTGTCTTTCTCTGCGTGTATAAGTGTGTGTGCGTGTTTCTATGTACATCGCTCGCCAGTTGGAAACAAACGAAAAGAAATGCGTCGAGCGAGCTGCTGCGTTTTATTTGTGTCAGTGGGCCGTTAGAATCGCGATATATAAATATGTATGTATGTGTATACATAACTCAATATATGTACATATATACGTACATACATACAACATACTGTGATCGCTCGCAAAGTAAACTTATTTGTAAATTTGCCGACCAGGGCTACATCAACATCAACAAGAATATTTTTCCTGGTTTAACCACTAACCAGACTAACTTATTTTGGTTAGTGGTCTAACTATATGGTTTAATAAAATTGTTCTGTTTATAAATGATTTGATAAGATAAAGATTTTCATTAAGTTTTCAATAATAACATGAAGCTATAAATGCCATTTTTCTATTTGCGAGCGATCACTGTACTTGCAAACTAAAAAGCATATATTTGTATGTATTTAGTGAGGTTAGGGCACAACAATAAGAGCAGAAGGAAAACAAATTCATTAATTAAAACAGTTGACAACAGGCAAAGCAGAGACATCAATCAAAACAAACAACAAAAACATAACAAAAGAAAAACAAGATTTGTTGAGCTGGAAACGCCTTAAAGCTTTAATAAGCTGATTAATTCATATTTAATATTGTCATGGTCAAACACGAGATATACAGAAAAGCAAAAAAAAAAAAAAAAAAAAAAAAAAAAAAAAAAAAAAAAAAAAAAATTTGAAAAAAAAAAAAATAAAAATAAAAATAATAATAATAATAAAATTTATATGAAAAATGTATTAGTTTTCCCTTTTGGTGGCGCTGATTCTTGAGTAACTATTGACGCTCTCTATTCAAGTATAAAAAGTAAGAAAGATCTAGTCGAGGCTCGACCACGAAATCCCCTGAACTATTCGGAGAATTGATATGTCACAACACGCATTGGCTGCAGTGTGGGCTTACTATGGAAAATAAATTGCTTAATAACTTTTCTTGTTGATGGACTGTGCCCATGAAACTTTCAGATCGTTATTACAACATTAAAGTGCGTGAATGAGCCAAATCGATAGCTACGTTCCTGTATATTCCTAATGAGGATCGGCTAAAATAATATATTATGCGCCCACGTCCACTGGCGTATAGAAGTCGTGGCAGATCGTTTACTCCAACACAATTGTTAATTATATTGATAGCGTAGAAGTCGTAGAAGCGGTCAAGTATTACTCAGAAAGAGAAATTCTGTTTCTAAGTAGTGGAGTCAGCCGCCATCGTCGCATTATATATGTATATGTATTATTAGTTAGAGTTACAATTAATAATAACTCTTATAAATACTTGAGCTGTGCAACCTCATTTCATTGAATCAGTTCGAAGCATTCGCTCAACTATAAAGCAAGCTTCCATGATGTTTGAGAAGACCTTTTTGGAAATATTCGTGGTGCACGCCTATTGGTTTAACTTTACGCCCTTTATGTATTCGATATTCGTAAAGAAGAATTGGGTATATTATGATGGATTGGATTTGGAGAAAACAATCGTTGCTGCGTTTGTCTTCGTGATATTGAATATTCTGTTCTTCGCGGGATTCTATCGGATCGTAATGTGCGCTTACAAGAGAATCAAAAAGTTGGAAAAGGCCAAGTTAGCAAAACGCAAGCAGATGTATATAAGCAATGAGAAGTTATCCAATAAGAAGGTTGACTCTGAAAAGGGAACTTTAATGACCAAGATGAAGAATTGGTTCTGAATTGTGGTTTGATTGATTGTTTAATAATTATGTAATCAGAACAATAAAACAATGTGCGACACTTATTGAAATTATTGATATTTCCATGAGCTATTTTAAGCAGCCACAGAAACCCATTATTAGTCACTGCATAAACTGAGTGACCGAGCTTTACTCAAGCTTAAGGAAAGAAATTTAAATGGTTCCACGCAATTAGTTGTCTAAAGGAACCCGAGTGCAGCTCACGTCTACGCTAAGCAAGATCGAAGTGAAAAACAAACATGATACAGAAAAGAATTGTGGAGATCTTCATCTTCGTTCTGTACTGGTTTGTCTTATCGCCCATGATAGCAGTGCAGTGCGTTCAGTGGGGTTGGGTTAAATGGGATGATAGCGAACTCTTTTTATCGATTAAGGATGTATGTGCCCTGGCGCTGGGATTGGCCGCCTTTTATCTGGTTGTCTACATAATAATAGTGCTCATTTATCTAAAGCTTAAAACCTACTCAATGAAAATGTGGGTCACCCATAATCCCGCAATATCGAATATGATTAATCATGAGCGACAATATTACGATACCAATGTTACGCCAATGACGGAGCTGGAGCAGATGAACACTCCTGCTACAGTGGAGCGGGAAAATTTGGAGACTTGTGGCGTTATTCAACAACCCGAGAGAATTCAGCCATTGAGCGATGGGTGTTGTCAAGGGAGAACGCCGCCTCCGTCCTATGAACAGAGCATCAATCATGTTTAACTTTGTACTCTTTTATATTTTATCATAATTATGTATCTATTACATTAAATATTTTGTAACTTATTTAAAATAATAAGTGTTCAAGTTGAAGTGTATGATTTGAAAACTTATCTGAAGTTGTCGTAGTTTGAATACCTTACAAAATCGAAATAAATATGTAGATCTCAAAGGATATACAAATCTCTCGAAATAAAATGCTTCACCATAACAAATAAATAGTTTTGTATAAAAAAAAAAAAAACACTTTATGGTTCATAAGCAACATGAATACATAATCTTGCTCACCTTATTGAAAATAGCTACCCTTATTATAGACTTATCGCGAATGCATATCGATCAGCCCACATTGCCTATATACACGAGTGGAAGCTTTCACTATACCCACGGATCAGTCGTATAACTGAGGGCAAGCTGTTCGGGCGCTCGTTGCAAAAATGTTTGGAAAGCAAATTGTGGAAGTGTGTACAATAGTCGCCTATTGGGTGCTGTTTGTGCCTCTACTTCTCGTCTGGTTCGAGATCGATGTCAAGAATGACCCGTTCATTTACTTCTTTACGCATTCAGAGCAAGTCTTATACCTAATCGTTGGATATCTAGTCCTCTATCGCATCATCAGGTACATATTCATCGACTTCCAGTCCTTCAATCTGATTCTATGGCAGAAATTGACCAACACCAAAGCCGAGGTGGACCTGCAGCTCAAAGAGGGCAAATCCTACAAGGAACTGGACACTGTAGATGGACCGCCAGCTACGTTGTCTTACTCCAACCACTCAAAACGTAAAGAGCCCATGTCGTCACAAGCCAGCGGGCTCAACGGAGCCAAATCGAAGCAGAATTTGGGTTGCGGTGATGAACCAGTACTCGACTCCAACTACCTATCACTCAAGAAGGCACCACCGCGTAGACCCCCACCGCCTCCAACACAAACGATCCACCAAGTACAAATTAACAAATAAAATGATTCCAAGTCGAGAGCTGATAATTCTAAATCATTTTGAATATTATTTTATATAAATAATGCAATTTAACAATTAAATATATATATATATATATATATATATATGTATACATATACATATATGTATGTATATATGACAGAAAGAGTTTGTTAAGAAAATGATCGAAACTGTTTATCTATTATTAAAACATTGAATTCAAATATTTTTCAATTGTATAAATTTCGAATTCTCGGTAAAATTGATATTGAGCTAGAAAAAGAATAAATATACCAAATATTCCAGAGACTTGAGGAATGAAGCGAATACTTGCGCCATTTTGTTGAGGTCATTTGACGTTAGCCATTTTACGCTCTGTTCGTGTGTGTGTGACCAAGTGATTAAATTTATATTTATGATGTGGATGTGCAGCTAATAAAGAGCCCAAAAATGCTGAGCACATGCGTGAGCGAGAGAGAAATTAAGCTAGAATCCAGAATCAAGTTCAGATCATATTCAGGTTCAAGCTGTGCGAGCGTGTGTGTGTGTGTGTGTGTGCAGTTGCGATTGGCGGCATACAAAGTGTTTGCTGTGTGTGTGCGTGTGGGTGTGACAGCTGCTGTGTGTTTGTGTGTGTGGGTGTGTATGTGTAGCTGTGTAAATGTGTCAGTATGGTTAAACCAGTCGTAAGAGGCATAGCAAATGAGAAAGTGTTGGAAAGAGGCAAAATAATAAGAGAAAATACTAAACGAAGCTAAGCACTAAGAAACTAAAGAATAGTTCAGAGCTATAATAGATAGGATTAAATTAGAGATAGCATAGCATACATGTGGTTAGATAGTTTTCAGAAGGCGATACGCTACGCGTAAGACCAAACAGTCGACCAGTGCTGCTAAATACCTTATTAGTATGCGTCATTTGGCATGAGCCAACTTACATATTTAAAAAATGTCATGAAATTGGCTAACAGTTTTCTTCACGTCTCACCTGCAGTCTATCTGTCCCTCTCCCTCTCTCTCTCTCTCTCTCTCTCCCTCTCGTTCAGTTTCCTTCTCTCTGGTTGACCCTGACAGACATTGATCGCTTTCAGTTCCCGGAACTGGTTTCACGAAAACAAATATCAACCATTTACACTCAATTCAATCTGTTTTTGAGCTAAAACTCAAAGGTGAAATTCAATTATTGTCAACTCATCATCATGATCAGCATCAGCATCAACATCATCAGCATCAGCAAGTGGATTTCAATGCCAAGCCAAAGCTAAATAAGGTGTTAGTCATGCAGTTATCAAATATATTGTATATATAAGACTGCAGTCTCTCGATCGTTCGCCCTTAGTCATAGTGGCTAGCAGACACCTGTTCGACTGTTTGGCCCCATTCTTGTGGAAAATGCATGGAAAGTAACTAGGCCAAAGCAAACGAGAATTCAAACGGGAAACGATAAGGCGTCTAAGTAAAGAAAAACTCATATTCCCGGCAAAGGATCTTGCAGACATTTTGCAATTTCGCTTTCTCTTGAACGACTTTTTTGATTACAAATTTTTGAGTATTCTCTTTTTTTCATTTTTGATTTTTGATTTTGCAAAAAAACTTCCCAACTACTTACTGCAGGCATAAGTTGATCTGTACTTCGGACGCGAGTCACCTTGTTTTTGGTAATCATCTTCTTGACGCAATGCTCCACCTGCACGTTCCACTTCATGAAGGTCACATAGGCAATGTATATGGTAAATAGGATGAGCGCCTCCCACCAGAAGATGCGATTGTCGCGAAAAAAATAGATCAGCACCAGCAGGCTGATGCTGTAGAATGAGCAGTCGCGGAACAGAGGCCACCAGGTCAGCGAGAGTACCGTTCGCGAGAACAGCGCACACATTCCAATGACAAACAGGATGTTGAAGACAGCGGATCCCACAATCGTACCAATGCCAACATCGTCGAACGACACGAAAACGCCAATGACACTCGTGAAGAGCTCTGGTGCACTGCCACCCGCCGCCATAAACGTTGCGCCGGCCACATCGTCCGTGATGCCGAGCTTTTCAATGATTACGTCAAGGGAAGGCACGAAGAATTCATCGCAGACAATTGCCAGCGCCACAAACATGTAAATAACTCCGATAATGTGCAGGATGACAGCGCCGTTCTCAAGCTGTTCTTTCGTGAATAGATCCTTTGGAAATAATGGCGTTTTCGTGGTGTTTGAACTGTCGGTTAGCGAGTCTGCAACGAAAGACAAAAACAGAAATTCGTTAGAATTAATTACAAATAATTGCCTATAGCTCTAGTCAATAACGTGGTATTATTAGAATTTACACTGAGTATGAGTATGCCCCTATCATTATTATTCGCACTATCACTATCACTATTAATAAAATTAAATTATTATTAAAACATAGAAGATAGGTCAAGTGAAAGAATATCTATCTTTCAGTTCACTAACGGAACATCACATCCAGCGATCTATCGCAAACATGCTCATCGATAATACGGATGGTGTTATCGATTTTTAGTAAATATCAAATGAGATTTTTGGCATTCTTATTATTATTATTGTTCACATCATAGCTATAGTAATCATTCCCAGTTTTAAAATGTTTATTAACTGATTTATATTTGCTATTATTCCCAGGAGCCAAAGGGAACTATTAGAAAGTATTCTGCACTAGAACAGCTATTGCATTGGAAGTTAAGATGTTTACCAGGTAATTCGTTACATATTTTAGTCATAAATAGTCATAAAATTTACCCTATCAATACAAATAATTCATGAAAAAAGAAAAACATAATATCTCGAATGCCTGAAAGCTTGCTAAATAAATATTCAGTGAACGTGCCGAATTTGTCATTGCGAATAGTTGAGGAAGCCTGACCTTTAGTTAGCACAGAGGAAACGCTCCCAAGACACTTAGAGGCAACATTACAGAAACATAAATGCCCATATTACAATAATACATAGATATATCTAGGCATTAGCACACCTTGCGCATCAGATGAGTGGAGCTACGGTTACTACTATTCCCCAATTACACATCCACAATTAAATAGCACGACCTTTTGCTGGATGACAAAAAAAGAAGAAGATAAACGCGTGCAAATCGCTGCTAAAACGTTTCGTAGTCGGCACCTTTTGAGAAGCGCGCGATTCGCCGTGGCAATTAACCGCAAAATTATGCAGCACATTTTGCAACAATTAGCAAATCGCGACTACAATTGCAACAGCAACAAATGCAACTTCTCAATTGGAGTCGATAATGGCAAATGTTAATGTTTATCATTAATTTGCGGTATTTTTGCAGTGCTCATTTTTTCCTTTGTATGAGCAATCGTTTTGGCGCGTGTGCTAAGCAAATAATCGGCGCGTTTTTAATCGCCTGGAGCAAAAAACACTGATTCTTGACTGATTCATGTCATTTCACACACCCAGCACTTTTGGGTGTGTGATGAAGGGGTATACCAATTGGTGTTTGCATATGTAATGTATAAGCAATGCTCGAAATCTCCTGCATTCTGAGTATAGCTGGGCTCGAGCGGAGAAATGATTTGTTTTAGATTCTATTAATTATTTGACAGTTTAGATATAGTTTGACAAATACTAAATTCGTATGTATATATATATTTATTTTATATCTTAAATTAAATTAAAAATGAATTCCATTCCAATCCGTTGGGATCCAAATTTACTTTGTTATTTAATATAAGCTTATCTTAATGCAGAGTTGCTTCATGTTGCTGATTACAGCGTATCGATCGGTCGGTATTCATAGCTGGCTATCGTCTAAGTCATTGTTCTTTGCCTGGTTTGTCACTTAGACTGCACAAAGCAAAAAAAAAAAAACTTTCGCTTTTTCATAATACCGCCTGAAGTTTTATTATTCTTATTTGAATAAGAGTAATTCGCTTATCAAAGCGAGGGTCGATTATGTTGTGGCATTGTTTCATCGTATTTATACTTTGTTCTTGGTTTAAAATTGAGTCGGCTCGTCGCCTCATTGTTGTTGACTCACTGTAGCAGTTGGGCCTCGGTCAACCAAGAGCTCGAGTCGTGCTAGATATAAAACCGGTTTCTCGGTTTCTGCTGAGAGTCGGACTCACTTGTGATTTGCATGCGGCTAACGGGCTGTACACACCCAAGCAACCCACCCACCCACACTCACACACAGTGGTTAACCCAGCTTTCAGAAGGTGTTGCAGGCAGCCATCGCCTCATTCCCGACTCGCCCCCAAATCAGTTTTAAATTACACTCAACTGAGGAACGTGCGCTATTATTCAATGCTTCAAATGAATCACCTGCCAAATGCTTAATGAATGACGATTGCAGCATTTGCTGTGGATCTGTTTGATTCGCATGGGTCTTACCTTTCGGCTTTTAACTTTAACGGGACTTTACTCAACGAAATTATCGCTAATTGTTTTTTTATATACATATGTACATATATTTAAAATGATGATTGGAAAAACTCTATCAACAGGTTTCAATGTCATTAATCATCAAATCCGATGATTATGCTCAGCTTAGATCGCTTCTAGGGTATTTGCTAGCCCATCAACGAACAGATTTGCGAATGTTTACTTGTTTTTACTCCACAGGTAAGATAATTTGTATTTTGTTGGGATGTGGGCGTGAAATCGACTCGACTACAGTTAGCTACGGGGGACTACGCTTTGAATATCAAACCAGATCATCGAGAATTATGTGTTCATAATATGCAAATACGATTACATTTATGACTAAGTGTAAAGCTAGGCTGGCTGACGGAAGACTGACAAGATATTGGGAAGTAATTGATGAACACTGTAGAATTAGGCTCGGGAGTTCGAAGGAATGGAAGTTCCACTGAATATATAATTTTAATTAATAACCTGAAATAAATATATACGTATATAAGATAGGGTATAGAGGAAATATAATGTGATATGTATGTATATTTCTAGAAAGTGAGGAAGTAAATATAAAACCGGCAAAAGTAAGTATTTAAAAATTGAATATTGCAGCGTAGGACTGGAGACTGTATCTTACATAGTTTTTATATATTATTAAAAATAATATTTTAAGGAATTCATATCTTTTCTTTTCTTTCCTTACTATCAAACTTTTGAGAATCTTGGTCTGAATTGAAAGCAAAATTGGAGTCTTATTAAAAGAGTCACTCGGCTTATCATTCGAGAAAATGATGATACGTTTTGTGATATAGAGTAAGACATACATCTCTCTATAGAGATCGTAGAGAGAGAGAGAGAGAGCGAGCAGGAAGCGCGTATAAATAGAATCGTTGATAAAATACTAAACAAATTGTTTATCATAGACTTTGTGAGAGGAGAGTTAAACAATGAGTAATGGGGAACAGTGAATGAATCTTACATTTTCATAAACACTTAAGATTGCGATAATTATAATTAACGATTAATCACACAAATTACACCTGGGGACAAAACAAAGAGGAATGTTTATCTATTGTATAAATATATATGATACAAATAATTATTTATGTATAACATTAATAATTAGATCATTCTAGATATTCTACAAGTAGAGAGTCTTTTAAATTCTTGTATAATCTGCATAAAAATTATAAAGAAGGTAATTATATATTATCTGTAAAGCCTGAAATTAATTTTTATCTGGACTTTACGTAGCTCTTGATAAAAATCAGACTACCCGCTTTAAGTGTATATCGAATATTTGCAACTTCGAAGTGCCTGAACGTCGCGACTTGAGCAACAAATTAAGCAAAAACTTCTGAGGCTTGTTTATTTTGAACTTGTTTATTTTGCTGTTAATTGCTTTTGTTCTCCTTTTGTTAGCTCACATTTGGCGGCATGTGGGCGCGTGCCGGATTCTCCGTCTACCTCTCTGTCTGACATAAATTGGCGGACAATTGCTGGAAACCAGTTTCAAGTGCCAAAATGCCACAATCTCAATTTGCCTAACTGCATGCAATCCAATTGATCATCAGCTCAGAAATCTTCTAGAGCAAACAGTGCACACCCACACACGGGCACACCGACAGATAAAGATTGAGACAGAGAGAGAGAGAGAGACAGAGAGAGAGAGAGAGAGGGAGGCAAAGAGAGAGAGAGATACTAATCTTTCAAGCTATGCGTCATGCACTGACTCTCGCTAACTGGAGAACAAGAGGCGCATTCGCAATTCGCCAAAACAGTTCCAAATCGAAGCTCGAGTCGCTCAGATGGCAGCAGCAACCGCATCAGCAACATCAGCAATGCCAAAGCTGTACGTCAGCCGCGCCACAATTCAGCTGAGGCTGCCAGCAGCCAAGGCGACTCCTCTCACCTACGAGTGGCGCACTCAGGTCACGGGTCAGGCGCAGGAGGCGCCAGTGGAGTGCATTAAGAGCAGCTCAGCTGCTGCAGCAGCAGGAGCAGCAGCGACTGGAGTTGCAGCAGCAGCTGCAGCAGCAGCCACGCCCACTTATACACCTCCACGCATACAAGGGAATGAGGCGCAGCGCAAGCAACTGCCACAAACCCTGAGCAACTTTTTCGAAGCTGAACGCTACGACAGCGCCTGGAATCGGCTGACTAAGTAAGAGGAAAGACTCACCATATACATATATTTGTTAGTACATATACATATATTCAGTATATATCAAATTGTGTGTGCCAATGTGAAGAATTTGCTACTAACGTACGCCCTAATGTGTTAAAAGAAACTTAGTTTTAAGTGAAGTATTCAAAATGTTATTTTAAAATATTTAATCCAAATAAATATAGAAATATTTGTTAATTTTGAACTCAGCTTATTTGTATTTTTATGTTTTTAAATATATAAATATATATATTTATAAATGTATAAATATATATGTAGATATGTATAAAATTATCTACTGCTCAAGCAAACTTTGTTTATATTACATACATTCAAACAATTAAAATATGTGTAACCATATATGTATATATGTATATTCTACATGAATAGCGCTATGCGTGTCATAATTATCAACTCTGCACAATACTTGACATTCAAAATGCGTTAAAGCACGTAGTTGGCATATAAAGCGTATTAATACCCCGTAGCTAAAAGCTAGGCATGATAAGGTGTCGTGAAGGCCCAAGAATATAAATAGGCCCAAGAATATAAATAGCTTGCGAAAGTTACATATATAAAGGCATATTTGTATGGCTCTCTCACTTCCTCTGTCTCTTTCTTTTCCTTTCTTCTCTCTTTCTTTCACTTCTCTCTTTGCTTAGCTCATATCCAAGTTTTAGTGATTCACACTTTACGTATTTTAAATTAAATATTTACAAAAACTAATTTTACGATTTCATTCTAAGCAACTTTCATAACATCTTCAGTATACATAAACTTATTTCATTGGCGCATATCTAAGAAGGTCAACGCTGTATTAATACCCTAAGGCGGATCAACATATGTTCATCGGGTACATTGATTTTGTGTCCGATAACTGTTAGCATATCTATAGGTCTGTAGGTAGATATAGACACTCAATGAATTTTATTAAATGAGTCAATTCAGAAATTACAAATTTAATATTGACGTATAATGATCTTATATAAAATGAGTTGAAAAGTAATAATTGTACTATCAATTGGATGCGATTTATAGGGGGAGGTAACTGGAAATTTAATTCTTAAAATGAAATTTAGCTAGAAGGGGTAGGTTTTATTTTGGCAGGGAATAGCTTAGTCGTGAGCTCCCAACTAAACTGCAATGGCTTTTTATTTGACTTTGTTCTCGCTTAGCTACACGTTTAGCCGAGTTATGAGTCAAGAGAAGGTTTTGAAATTAGCGCATTAACACGCTGCGAGCATGTAGGAAAACAAGTATCTTCCATTGACTAAAATCATTGAGAGCCGAGATTGATTATTATTGATTTATGGCCAACTAACGTGCACATATCTTCATATATGTATGTGTGTATATACTCATATAACTCTGTTGTGTTCTCTTATGTCTCTTATGAGTGCAAAAAGATTCGTTTCAATGGGTTAAGTTCGGCTGAAATATATGCTGCCAGATAAGAAAATCAAAAGTCAGCTCAAATACAAGCAGCAAAAAATGAAAAGAGCTCGCTTTTTCGCTCTATCTGCTTCTTGTTGTTCTTTTCTTCTGGCTTTTTCTGCGACGTCATCAATGTGCATAAATCACGGCTGAACAAACGCACAAAATTACGCGAAGCCGACGCTATTGGACCGGAAGTTCATTATGGGTAGGGCGGAAGATTGGTGCAAAGCAAAAGCTAAGCGAACATACAACTGTCTGTGTACACGTGTGTGTGTGTGTAATAGAGGGTGTGTGTGGCCACATGGTTTCACGCTTTGTGAAGCAGCTGCTAATTTATCAGGAGAGACAGCGCGCTTTGGCACGGCGGCAAGTTTCAAGGTAAGCAGCGCCTGGCGAATCGATTAGCCCAACGAGTGAGGAATGGGGAAGGCGGAACGAAATGGAAGCGGAACCTGCGCTGCACATGCAAATTGAGAGCGCTTGGGGAATATGCTATGTGGGTTGCCCACACCGCCACACCGCCACACCCAGCCCCTAGCACGCCGCCAGGGTTGTCAAGAGTGCTTGCTGCTGTTGAATCAATGCAGCAAAAACTGTGGCAACTGCCAATCTGGCAACGTTGAACGAGTGCCACTTAAGCCTAGCCACATCAACTTTATGAGTTGGCAGTTACGACTGAGCGAAAGAGCTCTGACGAGGGTTAGCTCAGGACCACCTGCAAATGCAAATAGCAAGGGAGTGACCTAGTGTGCCCTAGTTGGGACTGCCCAGCCACGAGATGCCCTGAAGCCATGCAGACGTCAACTATTCACTTCAATCTTGCTACCTTTCAGTTACTAATGGTATTAAATTATCAATACATGGAATATGGAATAATAAATGTTCCTACTCTGCCTTAAAATCTGTGAAAGTAACCGAAATCTTAAGTTTTCATCGATATCAAGTCATACATCAAATATTGTAACAGTAAATATCGATTATAGTCGAAAAGGAGAATGCAGAAAGGATGACTCCGCAAAAAAATTACAATGTAAAATTGTACAAGAATATATATTTCAAGTCTCTGACTTTGTAGTTCATGCGATATATGGGGCTAGCGGTATACTTATTAATAGATTTGTATATAGAGGAAGGGCGTTTCAAAACTTGTGACTGCACTTGTACATGTGGATCTGACGGCCGACAGCAACTCAGTTGTCATAAATTGCCTCCACTGAGTGCGGGTAGCTGTGACACTTCTCTCTGGATCAGTGGATGTGGTGTCAGCGTGTAAATATTTGAATTCAATGTGAATGGATGCCCACCCGATATACTCCTTTCACCGGATGAACAAGTGTTAAGCCGTCGAGCCCACATTTTCGCAACATTTGCACACTTTTCAACTTATTGTAAAAAGTTTTCCCACAATAGCAACAACAACAACAACACTTTGTACCTAATCAGGCTGAAGGCTCCGCTCCTTCCCGCTCGGGGCCAGCTCATAAATAGTTAAGAGCTAAGCTTTCTCCATGTGGTCTAGAAAGTGCCAAAATTATGGCGAGATGGGCCAAAATCTAAAAAGGGAAGAGCATGTCTCAAGAGTGCTTGGCAAGGCTCTCAAATAATTTATGGCGCGTCTGCATATTTCATTCCCCCAGCAAACGCAAACTTTCCCCTGCATAAGTTTTCAATTTGGCTGAGTAAGTTTCTCAGCGAAAGGCACACACATTATGACTGGTCCACTTAGACAGCTCATCATTCTCAATTTCGAGCTCGTAGTACTTATTTTCGGATATTATATTATTATTAATACACTCTAATATCAATTTCAAACTTGGAAATATTATCCCATTTACTAATATTTCTAAGCAGCTATAGAATTTCGTGTTAAGACCTCTCGGAAAGTCCAATTAGAATTAGCAATCACTATACCAGGTGTCCCCCTCTCTGAGTCAACCTGGGTATTTTTGCTTGCCACAAAGAGGCGCTGAGTGTCCGACTATTAATTATTGTAAAAGTTTTAGATTTACATTAATTAATTTTGTTGTATAACTTATCAAATTTATTTACAGATCTGCGATAGTTATAATTTAATAATATTAATAGTAATAATGACAAATAATCAAAATGTTAATTACAAATGTCATACTGATAAACAGTTTCTAAAACGGTAAAACCATTTTACTAAAGAAAATGCCAATTAGCCTGATTTCTCGCCAGCTCATCCCCTAAGTAAGGTTACTCAAAATATGATTTATATTCGAAGTGCCCCTACTGATATTTACAGAATTGTAATTATAAGCGCATTTAAAATTAGCTTGCGGCCAATTATGAAGTTTATAATTAAATGCACTTATGAAATGAACGCAATTCTCAGCTGAATAACATTTGCCATCAATTATTAGTTTAGGGCCCAATTAAGGCAGATGCCATAAATAATTGCAGGCTTATTGCAGGTAGATTAATTAGCGCCCAATCGGGATGAATGTGCATACTAAATTGATTTCAATTAAACTGTTAAATAAACAATTTATTTCCACTTTCCGTTTAGCTTTGCTGCGCTGAATTGAATTCGTGTCAGCAACCTGTTCCGAATGAATTACGTATTACAGTTAAATTCCCCCATTGCATGTGTGGGGCCGACAGAGACAGGGAAAGATGATTGACAATATGTACATCTAAAAAAAGATATATATGTATATGACTCATCCTGTGTAGCTGCTGCTGTTTTAAGATGAATGCATTAGCCGAGACCAAGACCGGGGACTCGAATAACCCGTAGAGTTCGACAACTGATGATCCTGCTGACTAATGATTATTTGATATGTATATTCATCTTTCTTTCTTCAAAGTCAGCATTAAGTATTAAAGATATGCGGGATATTTAGAGAGTCTTATAACTAGGACGCAACTCTATAGAGTTGGGATTTGCTGAAGACAATGTTATATTGATGATGTGAGTCTCAAAGCAGCTTTGGAGAAGCATATTGACTGGCAACTCATCGCAGCTAACTGGAATCTATTCTGACTGCCAACCACAACAGGGAAAGGCTAGAAAGAGTATATCCTTTGGGGCGCTGGGGAATCCCATGTAAAAGAGAATAGAATACTAAATAATTAGATCTGAATTCAAGAAGTAAGCATATCCACAATGGAAGTCCTAGAAGGTGGGTTTTAGCTAGAAAGACCCAACATAGGCAATCCCACGCAGCCATATCAAGGTTACATTACATTACACATACATTACATTCTTCCACATATTATTCAACACGAGGCGCATGTTTAAGTGCATGCCATTTATAACATGCAGCTGCACACGAGCTGAACCAACTACCACGTCTACTCTGCTGACCTACTATATTTTACTACGATAGTAATAGGAAAATGCAATCCAAATATTATCACTTGGCAAGTCAACTTGAGATTTGGCATGTGCGTAACCCTGAATTGGCCCATTACCCCCTTTAGAACAAGCACAGCTGATAGCCCCGGCTAAGCTGGCACGGTCGCACTGCCAATTAGATTGGCCTCAAAGCAAGCAAAAGAGCAAAAGTGGGAATGTCAATAATTAAAAGTCGGCCAAATGTTGTCATTTGTCCTCAGCGCCACAAAGCGACTTCCTGCCGCCCACATGGCACTCACCCACCCACACACATACACACATACCCCTTTGGGCGTAGCTGTGTGTGGCGTGCAAGTCGTGCACGTCCTTGCGAGCCTTTTGTTGTTGTTGCTGCCATTTTGATTTATCGATTTAAATTTTTGTTGCCGTCTGTTTGGCTCGGCTTCGCCTTGCGCTTTTCCCACATTTTCACATTAGCGGCTCAATCATTATTTTCTCGCTCACGCTATCCTTTCGGTTTGCCTTTTTTCTGCCTTTTAAATACTTATGCTTAATATTTCTGTTTTGTGTGAGCGTGTGTTTTTATCCTATTTCCTCTTATACATATGTATGTATAATAATGTACATATACATATAAAAAAATATATGTTTTTTTCTTTTCTTTTGACCGCCTGCCGTTTGGGTCGAGGTCTTTTGCGAAACTTTTCGGTGGATTTTTGTTTCTTCTTCTTCTGCCGCTGCTGCTGCTGATTCTTCTTCTGCTTCGGCTTTCGCCACCCACAACAAACGCCGTTTCCAGTCACGTTAGCGTGCGAGCACATAATACATATACACACGCACACAAACACAGGATTGCGGTGTGTCTGTGTTCTTGTTGCTGTTGTGTGTGTGTGTGTTTTTTTTTTTATTACAGCAGCGCGCGCAATTTGGGTCGATGGTAAAATAGAAAAGCCAAAAGCAAGGCAAAGCTAAACACACACACACACACACACACACACACACACACAGACGCACGCACACAGAAAGTGACACGAACATTTCGAGCAAAGGTCGTTGCGAGCAGTCCAATGCACATTTATTTCTATGCACACACACACACACACACATACATAAGCACAGCAAGTGCTCACATGTGTGTTCACATACAGACGCGTATACGTACGCCTGATGATTACAGTGCTGGCCACAATCAGTGGCGTACTCTATTTTCTCAAGCCATGAAAGATAAGAAACGAAGAAGCTGTGACTATTTTTATTATTGTTATTATTAGAGTTATTATTATTATTATTAGTTTTACTTTGCTTTAGCTATGCCTAAGCCTATCTATTGTAGGTCGTACATATTTACATGTATTTATGTATATATATTTTATACATATACATATATCATCAACATTAACATATATTGACTCTTATTCTGTTTGAACTAAGCTAGCTGGACCTCTTATTATGGACGCTGCTGTTTGCACACATGCACCTACGCTCGCCTGCTCTCACACTCATACTCAAAGCTCTATCGCTCTCCCATTCTCTCTCTCTCTCCCATTCTCTCTCTCTTTCTCTCTATTTTCGTGTGTTTCAGTTATGTTCGGCGCTGCTTTCTTTTTGTTTTACTCGCTATTTTTTCACTTATTTTGACATTTTCTGTGACTGGTTTTTGGTTTCATGTTAATTGCTCGTAGCGTCGCTTGTTCCGGCAATCTGCGTTAATTTTAAAGCTTGATTTACAGACTACAGCGAACGAATCCTTGTCGTTGTTGTTGTTGTTGTTTCTGTTTAGGTTTCTGTCCTCCTTGTTGTTTTTGGCAGCACTTCTTGCTGCTGTTGCATATGCTGTCGCTTTGCGGCTGCAATTTGCGCCCCAAAGCACACAGCACAATATTTTTTCCCTTAGTTACATGTGTGTGTGTGAGTGAGAGTGAAATGTAGTGTGCATTTTGCTACCCTGTCCCTGCATGAGGTCACTTGAGACCATAACGAGCTATTTTGGCGCATTTAGCATATGCTCAATACATATAAACAATATTCGCCTAACAGTTTTAGCTAGTTTTGGCAATTTGTTATTAAATTAATTATAATATAGCCAAAAATACATAAAAATAGCGTAAATAAATTTAACTGAATCGTTTGCTTTACATTAAGATATTATTTGATGTGTAACTTCTATAGGTATTCGTATTAGCGTTATCATTCTCGGTACAGTTTTCTCCTTCAGGCATAAATATCAGTTTAAAGCATAACTGTCTTTTTAATGGGCTTGGATTGTGCTAAGTTTTGGGAACAAAAGGATTGCTTACTTTGTGTAAGATGGATAAGATTTCGCATAAAGGCGAATATTAGAAAATAATTATTTTTAGACTGCTTTTTGCTATTCCATTCTAAATATCAAAGGATATTGGCAAAATGATATTTTAAAGGACAAAGGACCTTAAATCTGTGATTATTGCCATACATTGTTTTAAGAATAAATATTAATAAATTTGCCTAATAGCAATCTGTAAATATTTCATTAAAAATTAGTAAATATAAAAATAATGAAATAAGTAAATTACTAAACGGCGATTCTATTAGATCTGCTGAACATATATTTAAATTTGAACAACATGTTGAAATAATCGGATATTCTTATTAATTGAACATAAATCCATTCCATATTCAATAACATGAAGTGAGGCGATTGACTAATAGATAGGCGATTCACACACAGATTGAGGGATATACTCAAATAAATCATCCATAAATGCAGAAAAAGTTAGATAAAACTAATTCTTCGATGATGAGTGCTTCCCTCTTCTGTCGAACGACTCAAACTCTGCATGAATCTTGTCGACTCGTTGATTAAAATTGGTCGACTGGCAATCACAAAATGCTATCTGTACCCTACCTAGCCTGTAGGGCGTCTGAGAGTCGTATGAAGAATTTCGTCTGCCAGCTAGTTGTCTTGCTTCCCTCTGCTGTTGCCAGCCCCCTGGCCAGTGAGAGTTGGGCGAGTGTGCGAGTGTGTGTGCGGCAGACAGTTAGAAAACGAAACAGACGGCCGCAAAGGGATGTACGTAGGGTCCACGACGCAAATGTGCAGGGCCGGGTGCCGGGGGGACAGCGTCGGTTGAGTCATTAAAATGAGAAACGACTCCAGGGTGCGCACGCCTAGGCAAACATTGTGCCACGTCGTGTTTAATTGTTGTTGGAACCAAAAATAAAAAACAAAAAGAAAAAAGAGAAAAAATACCAGCAGCAAAAATAAGTAGCATAAAAATTGCGCTATGTGGCAGCAGTTGGCCAAACAAAAGGTGAATACGAGGTTTGCCCAATTTGACTTGGCCCCAAGCACCAAAAGAAACAAGTGCAGAAATGCAGTTGTCTGTATGTGTATGTGTGTGTGTGTGTCGGTGCTATGTTGTGTGTGTACAAATGTATGTTAGCAGCTGTTCAAACTTCGCTTAAATTATTTATGCTTGCAGACGTTGCGTATACGTAATTTATGCTCGACTTTATGGGTTTGCAGGGCATACGAAATATAACGTATACGCAATGTGTAACGCCTAAATCATTTTTAAAATAAATCTTTATAATTCTTTATATATTTTATTCGATATATAATATTACGTATACGCAAAGTCCAACAGTGAAATCATTTAGTATTTGATTGCAATTTCACACACACTTATTATAATAAATATTTTTATGTATTACTATTTTCACTTGCTAGTCTCTAAAATAATATAATTATCTATTTTTGGAAAACTTTTATCTAATTAATTTAATAGAAGCCTTCAATCATTTTTCTCTGTACTTTAATTTTTAATTCCATTGAAAATCATTGTATTATGCACTCCCCTATACAAAGTCAGAGATGTGATTTTTTTTAAATGTATAAATTCTGATTGCTCGATTTAATTTATGATTATCTCCACATATCACACATACGCCCCATGTAACGCATACTTTCATTTGAGTATTTTTTTATTTGCTCTTGAATTGTGAGCTATGCAAGTCAAATTCGATTTTCTGCTGGGAGAGGACTCAGCCAGACTCTGTCTTCGAAGCCCTCAGACCTCGATTGAATTGTACTTCGTCTGTCGCATAAATCACTTATACAGCGACTTGCCCTCCTCAGAGCTCTTGCTCCTACGCTCTGGTGCCTCATTTAAATATAAATTCCATTAGTCATAGTCGCAGGCAAAAGGCCAAATCACGCATAAGCCATGTTTGTTGAGCGACTGTGTGTGTGTGTCTGTGTGTGTACTTTTGTAGAAGTGGGTATACGTATTCCAGATGAAAATTGTACTCTTGTTGACAAGCTTATTGGTGACGTCTTCAAATATCTTGACACACGCTCGCATGAGGACCTAAGTGACATGTCATCGAAGGTGTCTCGCCCGTTGACATGCTCAAGGACATGTCATTAATACAATCTTGTATCGCGCATATACTATATAGGAGTTGAGAACTCTAATTAAACTCAAATGAGGATTGAGCACGTTCAATAGTTCATTTGCCCTAATAGCTCATAAACTATATCATTCAGCAGTTCATTAGTTCACTTTGGGAACGAAGCATTCGACTCAATCGTTCACTAACGATTCGTGGCTTCGACTAGTTTCATGCTTTGCATGTCTCTGGTTCACGGCAGAGGGAACTAATTCGAATGCAAACTCAATGTTGGTAGTTCATTTAAATATCAGTTAAGGGGTTTATACTAAATTCCCGAATATTAAATATATTTATAGAGTCCTTGCTTGATTAACAAATATGTCAAGTATAATCAATATAGAGCAACCTTTCTTGAAGACATCCCCGCTGACAAAAAGAGGAACAGCTGAAGAAATTGCGTGGCCTGATATCACTGCTTCACTAATGTCAATACATGTTGGAAGGAGCTCAGGGGTAAAGGGAGTATTTGAAAAATGCAGGGGCTTACTAGATGGCTTGTTGGCTTGCACTTACCATTGATACCGCGTGGGTTGGACGCATTATCCTCGTTCACCTGCCGTCCGCTCGGCTCACGTCCATCCGCAAGGTCGTCCTCCTCCTCCTCGCCAAACATTTCAGCGGACTGGTAAAGGATTTCGGCTTCGTCCTCATTCGATGTTTGCGATGATTTCACTTGATAAGTGGGCGGCACGTCGGCCATGTTGTTGAACGTGACATCGTTGTTGTGCGCCGGCTGATGCTCCTGCTGTTGGTGTTGTTGCTTGTGCACGCTCTTCGGCTTGTGGGCCTGAGCGCTGCAGAGGCAGAGGCAGAGCAGCAGGAGCAGCATGAGGCAGCATTGCGGCTGACCACGCCTACGGGCGTGCCTATTGTTGTTCTTATTTTTGTTATTATTATTAGTTGCAGTTGTAGTTGTTGTTAACGTTAATAATACTAAGCGTTTTAAAATATTTACACAATCGACAATGTACGCGCACATTATTGATAACAAAAGCTTTGCATGGTGTTTTGTTTGTTTCGTATGTTGTTGTTGTTGTTGCTGTTTCTGTTTCTGTTGTTTTTGTGGTTGTTGTTGTGTATAAGCAACATTTGCATTTGTTGCTGGCACTTGTTGGCAACATTTGTGGGCGGCCCGTAGGCGACCGCGTCGCCGGCGACTGTTGAAATCTATCGTTGTCGTGGTGCTATTGCTGGCTGGCAGCATGTTGCTAAGGCCCATGTTGCCAAGGCGCACAATGTTGCTGTAGCTAGTAGCCTTAGCTGTTTGCTGTTGTTCGTGGTGCTGCTGCTGTTGCTGCTGCTGTTGCTGTTGCTGCTGCTGCTGCTGTTCTTGCTGTTGTTGTTGCACTAGTTCTTTTTCTTCTTCTTGATACTGCTGCCATTGTTGTTTGCTGCATGTTGTTTGCTGCAACATTGGACCCGTTAAATGTTGTTTCTGTTGCTGTTTGTTCCTACAGTTGTTGTTGTTAATGTTGTTGCAAAACCGTTTGTTGTCGTTGTTTGTGTTTGGTGAAACTTTATTTTGATCGTTTTCTCTGCGCTGTAGAAAACAGTTCGCTCACTTCCTTTCTATCTCTCTTTTTCGCTCTCTGCCCTCTCTATCCTTGGCCTTCTCCTTCTCACGCACTCTCCCTCTAACTTTCTTACTTCGCTCGTTCGCGGCTATTGGCTATTATGCTTTTGCATTGTTGTTGCAATATCACACGAATTTATATACACTACTATCATAGATAACAATTAACACAGCAACGCACTAGACAAGTAACTCGCAGCGGTTGTTGTTGGTGCTACTGTTGCGGCGGCTGCTGCTCGCGCTGACGCTGGCCGCAGCATTTCCACTACGTTGACGTTGCGTTCGTATTTGAGGACGGCTCCTGGCCGGGCCATGTGTACGTGTGTGCGTTGCGTTTCTCTTTTCTTTTTGGCAACGTAAAGCAACGCTGTGTGCGTGCCTGTGTGCGTGTGATTGTATGCCGTGTGTGCGTGTGTATATGTGTGTGCTCGTGTGCTTGTGGAAAATTTCCCTGAGTTTTGCCAGTGTAGCACACAGCACGACTAGCAGGACAGCACTGCTGACGTTGCTGTGCCGCTGTTAACGTCGCTGGCCGTGTGCTGCAGGCCTCACTGGAAGGGATACGACAACGACTCCCAGCTGGAAGGCAGTCAGATCCAGTTTATGGCAGAGCGTGTTTTACATTGAATATATTTGATGTTGTTGTTTCTGTTGTTGCGCGTGCGCTGGTATTGTTTACATTTTCGCATTTACATTGAACTTGCACGAGCTGTTAAATCTGCAAAAAGAGAGAGCAGACGATAAACAGCTCAAGTTAGTCAAACGGTTTTTGCACGCCAGCTTATGCTTAACTAAACAATTTGCATGCTCTCTGCAAGCGCAGCACATGCACTCGCGCTCACTTGGACTCTCACTCTCACACTCTCTCGCCCTCTCTTTGTTTGCGTGTGTGTGTGCGTATTTTTTTGTTTGCTTACACGCTCTACTGCTTATCTCAGCGTTCTTATCGCTGCTCACGTTTCTGTTATTGCTTTCGTTTTCTGCTGCTGCTGCGGCCGCTACTACCGCTGCTACTGCTACTGCTGCTGCTGCTGCTGCTGCTGCTGCGACTGCGGCTGTGTTTGTTGTTTTAGCTTACGCTTACAATTTTACTTTCATTTAGTTTAGTAGGTAACACGCACACACAAATACACACCCAATCTCTCTCTCTCTCTCTCTCTGTCTCTCTCTATCCCTCCCTCTTCATAACCCTCTTCTACTCTATTGCTTTCTCCCTCGTTCATTGCTTCATTTTTTTATGTAGCTGCTTGTGGCTGTCTCTGGGCTTTATGTGCGGTTACGTTCATTGTTATGCTTTGAGTAGCTGCCGCTAATGTTGTACCCGCATCCCCGCCGCGCTCCATGTGTTTGTGTGTGCTTTTGAGCCTCGCAATTTTTACAGCTAGCCTGAGTGTTTTTTTTTTTCTGTTTTCTGTTTTTTTTTTTTTTTTTCTGTATTTTTAGCCATAGGCCGCAGCTTAGACAGGAATCTCGATTCTGTTGGAACTATTATTAATTATGGCATTTGATTCTCTAGGGCTGTGTCAAATTTAGGCTTGCTGCGAATTGCGTAACATCTTATTTTTATAGCTATATTTATTTTGATTTTGTTCTTTCGTTTGCATTTACGTAACTTCATATATCTACATATATACATAAATCTAAAAAGTTTTATAGCGTGATATGAAATTCTTATACCTCAAAAAAAAGTTCCATATATTTTTAGGTAATTGTTTATATTATTTTATAAAGCATAGTTTTTAGCGCTTTTATAATAAATCATTATTGCTTTAAAGTTTTGCATTCCAAGAGTATTATCTATTAAAACTTACTAATATTATATTATAAAGTAAAAAACTATAGAAGACAGTTAATGCATCAACAACTAACGATCATAAAATAAATATTTTTTTCTTTTAAGATAATTTCAAGAATTTTTCCTTTAAATTTTTTTACATTTTCTTACAAACACCATTTATTTTTAAGTATATTCAACAAAGTGTTTTATTATCAAATTAGTAACATGTGATTTAATGTTTAAATTTTAATATTGTTGGTATATTTTTCACATTAATGACTCAAGTATTCGACTCGATTAAGCTTTGATTTATATAAAATTTCTGTACCAAATAATCACCGCACTTAAAGGATTTATTTAGTGATTGTTTATTTATAATAAAAAACACTTTTTTAAATTGAGAATTGTATTAAACACACGTTATTGAGCACAGAATTGCAGAAATTTTTATCACAGGTTTCTTAAAAGGCAACACTGTGGCTAGGTAGCGTATTATACATGTTTCTTAAACCGTTATGCCATTTATTCTGTTACCTTCCTCATTATCATACACAGCTTAGCTTTGCTTAGCAGAAAGAATAACTGTGCTTAACATTAATTGCGACAGCTAAAAGTATGCCATAAAAATGTGCAATTAGAAGGTCTTATACATTTCTACTCTCTCCCACCACATATTCATCTATCTCACTGTATCTCTCTCTCCTTCTCTGTCCCGCATTCACTGACACACGCATTTAGTTTACCGTTAAAGCTAAGCTTCTTTTGAGTCTTGCTCAAATTGTAGCAACTATTATATCATTGGACGACTTAAAGTGGGGCGGGGCCAAAATATAACAGAATAAAGGAACGCCAATATTTTTGATTCTTCTTCAAGTTTCTTTTATTTGGCTGGCCATATATTTGTTGTCTTTGTACACTGCAAAAAACGTAAAAAAGCGAAAGCAACGTTTTGACCTCTTTATGAAAGGCCTAAAGGCACGAGAATACACGCAAACGTACATACACATACACACCCAAAAAAACTCACACACACACACACGCAGAAGCACATTTGCTACAATGATATTAACATTTCTGCACTCACACACACACACACAAACACACACACATTCAAACATACACATACATACGTACACAAGCACAAGCAAAGCGCTGTTTCATTTTTATTGCTTGATTATATAAAATTTGGGTTTGCCTTCAATCTTTTGGCAGAAATTTCCATTTCGCTCTGCATATCGTCATACACTTTAACTCTTCATTCCTTTCCGCTTTTCATACTACTTTTTTATGGTATTTTTTGAAAGTGCAATCAATTTTCAGCACACACGATTAAAAGTTTCTGCACACACACACATTGGCATAGAATTTTTTTTATTGCTTTTAACGCACCGTCCGCTTATTGGTCCTGCGAGGATGTTGTCAGCGCAGCGCACGAAAACGATTTGACTCCTTGGCCAGCCAGCGGAGCTGCTATGAGCCTCGGGGCCGCAGCGACAGAGCCGAATGAATGAGAAGCGAGCCGAGCAGAAACGACGCGCACGCGAGCATCGCTCGACCGCTTCCAGTTGCGTGCTTTGCACAGCAGCTCAGCTTGATTGCTGCAGACTAGTGCCGCTCTCGCGTTCTCTCTTGGGCCTCTACTCTCCCATTCTCCCATTCAGCTCTCCCCCGCCTTCACTTAGTTTATGTGCCAGTTGCTTTTGGTGTTGTTTAAATTTATAATTAATTAATTTATTATTCTGGCATTTTGAATGGTTTAATATTAGCTCTCTCCCACTCGCTAGCTGGCTCTTTAATAGACCCACTCTAGCTCTCTCTCCCTCTGTTACTGTGGCTTGCTCTTTGCCTTCCAGTTTATAGCAAACTTTAGCTGAGAGCGAGGACCGTTTGCTAGGCTCAGGTAGACTGAGCTGCCAAACATACAGCAGTAGCACCAGCACACACTACAAGAAATAGAATTCGTGCACGCGTTACAACACTTACAAACAGTCACACACAAACACCCGAACACCCAAATTCGCGTACACACACACACATTCGCGTACTGCCGCACTCACTCACATATATAAACACACACACACACACACACACATCCTCGCACAATTGTATTTTGATTATGCCCGGTTCGGTACGCCGCATAGCTTAGATATTTGTACGCACAACAATGCGACGTCGTAAACGACCCCCCTTTGGCTCTATATCTTTTGTTGCTCCCGTCCCGCTGAACCCCCCCCCTCCCCCTCCTTCGCTCTACTCCATTGATAGCCCCAGTTCGCTATATCAAATATTTATAGAAATAAGAAAATGAGAGGAATTTACGCACGAAATTTAGGACAACGTACAGGCTATGCTCTAATTTAGCAGATAAACAAGGTTTAATCGAATTTTTTAGGAAATAAGAGAATAAATTCTAGATAAATTGTAATATTGTTAACAAACAAAAGTATGTTCGAATAATGTGCAAGGATAACAAACAACAAAATGTAAACCATAATTACTGATAAAGTATTTGACAGTACAGTTTCGATAGAATAGTGTATATAGCGTTAAAAATCGGTATTATATTCATACATATGTATGTACTTTAACGAAGAAACAAGTTAAAGAAAGTCAAAGAAAAGACAAAAATAAATTAAATGAAATGAATCCAACAATGGAGAGCATCCACGCGGGACAAAGTTTGCACGTTTGTCATAGAAGTGAGCTCTAATAGGCAGTTAGATCATTTATTTTATGCACAGTCTCATAATAAAAACGCCAAAATATATCATTTGTAATTATAATTTGTGGGCAGACACAGGACAACAACAGAAAAGGTGAATCGGGGCATTGGATATAGGAGTTGAAGCCACATCCTTGGGCCGGCACATGGCGCTGTCTGCACTTGTCAGATGATAAAGTTATTTGTATATATAAAAGCCGTCAGCCAGCCGAACAAATGGCTCAAGTCAACTGTGGCCAAACAAAAGAGTTATATAACAATAGATGGAAGACACAATACAGCGGCAAAATAAGAAGAGATAAACTACAGACAAGTGGAGAGCTCTATCCTTAGAACAAAATGCCCTGCAGTCTCAAACATTGCTCTAGCTCAAACATAAGCTATCTCTTTGTAATTCTGTATTTAACAAACGACTGAGGTCAATTCGCTGTCGGATTATTATAATGTGGAAGTACATACCATATTTTAAAAAATATCAATATCAATCAATATTTAAAAACATGGCTGCATAAATATTTTGCGACAATAATAATAAAAATAAGTATTTGTTATTTAAATAAAAAGCATCCCTTAATACCCAGTATTCACCATATTATATTAGTTTATACTATTTTATATCATATTCATGGTCATATTTTGAAATACACAGTTTGGCTTAGCTTCCAGCGTATCTTAATGCGAGATCTTTCCAAAACAGCCTACTTTATCTTTTTGATATGATTATACAATTTTCGTTTGATACATAAATCTCAGCTTGAGTGATAGATCCTCCAGTTGTATATGTGCGTTGGCAATTTAGTGGCAAATTAATCTAAATTAATTTTCGCACATGCCCTGGAATCATTAGAAGAGGGTATACAAAACGCTGAGGGTATACAAGCCTCGCTCGCTCCACTGTGACCCGTTTTGCCTGGATGCCTAATAAAGCATATAATATGATTATTAATCAAATGTGGCGTATTGACTTTTCATTTGCTGAAGGATGCGACATTTGGAATTAGCTCTCAGCATACGCAATCATAAATCAGTTGGGGCGGGCGTGGCAATGGAGGCGGCGTCTTGAATGCGGAGAAAGTTTTGCACTCTGAGCGTGTGACGGGCTTTTCTGGCACTTTGCTTGGATTGTAGTACGGCTGACAGCTCAATGCTGTTTAATGCGCCAAAAACTTACGAGCTGCAAACACATTTTAATGAATGACGTAGTCAGTGGCAAGGACACTGCCTCCCACCCACCTCAGCCAGCACAGCACAGCCCCGCCCCCAAGACCAACCGCCCAAGGACGAATTCTTTTCCGACTCGAGGCGGCACACAATTTCAATGAACTTTGATAAATCGCTGCGACCGGGGCTGAGGAGAACTGGATGAAGGGGGAGAAACCACAGCGTAACCCCCACATGGTTGGTTGAACTTCCTATTTTGGCCATAAGCAGGGCCTCGCCTGGCCCTCGAAGCCCCTTGCCCAACCGTCCACCGCCCACCGCCCCCCGCCCCTGCGCACCTTCCTCTGCCCAGCATTAGCAGTATTTTTAGATATGCCTCCGTTTTCGGCCAAATTTATTTGGCTTATGCAAATTGTTTTCTGTTCCAGCAGCTTCCTTTATATTTACTAATTACCATCAGATTAACCTGGTGGACATTATTATATTTAGATGTGGATCTATAATTTTGATGGCCGTATAATACGTTTAATCATTTAAATTACCTTTGTTATTGCAAAATTCGTACTGGCATAGAAAAGATTATGAAAATAATTCGTGCCTAATTATATGTACTTATGTAAATCAAATCAAAATATGAAACAATTTACGAATATATTTAGATAGATTTATGGAAATCAGAATTACAAATCGTCCAGCAGGAGGATCAACTTTTGAGTGTAAACATCACTAATGACTGACTGGAACTAGTTTTTACAATGAGCAACAGAACTAATTCAGCGATCAGTCTGCCTATACCGTATTAATTGAACCATTTAATAATAGCTTATCCAAAGCCTTCAGGGTATTTTGTACATTTTATATTGTTTTACGTAAATCTTATATTAAATAAAATCTACTTCTTTAGGCATATTAATATCATTCCATTTCTTATTTTACTATTTCATTTTTATTTTTATTTTATTTTTTTAATTATTTGTTTATTTATTTAGTTATTTTTGGTAAATTAATCTATTCTTTTGATTTAACTTAATAGCTTATGTATTGTGAGTTTGATTTTCCAATTACTTCTAGATTATTCATGCCTATATATGACTTTACCTAATAAATAATTTATAATAAAAATGCAGTGAGTAATATTAGAAGGGTTTTTATTTTTCGACATCAAATGTCCATAAGTCATGTAATATTAATACATAAACCAAAATAGGGCTCCCTCATTATCATTGTTATCTCGTAATATGCTATAGAATTTTAGTAGCTGATTACATTTAAGTGAGAATAAAACCATTACCGTTATTATCCAAACGATGATGATTAGATATCTATCAGGGCTTAGCAGTTGCTTAACTTATTTGCAACTCTAATTCATGCTTTTTACTTAATCCAATGGTTAGCTTGGTGCTGGCTGGCACAGCCACAGCGCATTAAATTGAATATCTATTTTTGTTTTTATTTCTATTTTGGAAGCTTGTAAATACCAGAGCCCATGCCCCTAACTACCGCCCACAAAAGGACAGTTTATCAGCGCAGTTAACCACACAAGCAGAGGGAGAGCTTATCAACTTTATAACAAGCACAAGCTAAACAAACTGCTGGGTAAATGTATGTATGTGTGTGTGTGTTTTTTTTTTTTTTTTTTTTTTTTTTTTTTTTTTTTTTTTTTT